TTGTTGATCGGCAATAATACTTTTTTCACCTCTTCCACACTTACTTTACGGAATTCAAAATTACAATGCTTTTCTTTCATAATTTTGTCAGATATACTTGGATGTGTAGTGTCAGCGTTTGTTGCTGGCATGTCATGCCTAAGTTTGCTAATCTTGCCAATGAAAAAATAATTAAAGTAGTTGGCAATATCAGTGGGTTTTGTGATGAATGAGACAATGAATGATGGAGCGGAGTTTGCCTTTTTGCCAAAAATGTCATTTAAGGTCCTCCAAAGCTTTTTACTATCATTCTTTATGTCATTTATCTTTGTTTCATAGTGTAGTTTCTTCTTCTTTTTATTCAGTTTAGTCACATGATTTCTCAATTTGCAGTACGTTTGCCAATTGGTTGTACAGCCAGACCTATTTGCCATCTCTTTTGCCTCATCCCTGTTAACCATACAATTTTTCAATTCCTCATCAATCCACGGGGATTTAACAGTTTTTACAGTCACTTTCTTAATGGGTGAATACTTATTAGTAACTGGGATAAGCAATTTCATAAATGTGTCAAGTGCAGCGTCTGGTTGCTCGTCATTACACACCACGGACCAACAAATATTATTTACATCAACAACATAGGAATCACTATAAAACGTATTGTATGACCTCTTATACACAATATTAGGCCCAGCCTTTGGAACTTTGGTTTTCCTAGATATGGCAACTATATTGTGATCACTACATCCGATGGATTTGGATACTGCTTTCAAACACATTTCTGCAGCATTAGTAAAGTTATGATCAATACATGTTGATGATTTCATTCCTGTACTGTTTGTAACTACCCTGGTAGGTTGATTGATAACCTTAACCAGGTTGCAGGCACTAGTTACAGTTTGAAGCTTTCTCTTGAGTGGGCAGCCTGATGAAAGCCAGTCAATATTTAAATCACCCAGAAAGTATACCTCTCTATTGATATCACATATATTATCAAGCATTTCACACATGTTATCCAGATACTGACTGTTAGCACTTGGTGGTCTATAGCAGCTTCCCACCAGAATGAGCTTTAGGTGAGGCAGGTGAACCTGTAGCCATATTACTTCAACAGCAGTGGTGGAAAAAGTACCCAGTTGTCATACTTGAGTAAAAGTATAGCTACCTTAATAGAAAATGACTCAAGTGAAAGTCACCCATTAAAATACTACTTGAGTAAAAGTCTAAAAGTATTTGGTTTTAAATATACTTAAGTATCAAAAGTAAAAGTATAAATCATTTCAAATTCCTTATATTAAGCAAAGCAGACGGCACCATTTTCTTGTTTTTTTTAATGTACGGCTAGCCAGGGGCACACTCCAACAATCAGACATTATTTACAAAAGATGCATTTGTGTTTAGTGAGTCTGCCAGACTTTCTGCTAAGCATTCAAAATGTAACGAGTACTTTGGGAAGTCAGGGAAAATGTATGGATTAAAAAGTACAATATTTTCTTTAGGAATGTAGTGAAGTAAATGTTGTCAAAATATAAATAGTAAAGTACAGATACCCCCAAAAACTACTTAAGTAGTACTTTCAAGTATTTTTACTTAAGGACTTTACACCACTGTTCAACAGTATTTAACATGAGATCCACTCTAAGCTTTACAGGAATGTGGTTCTGAATATAGACCGCAACACCGCCCCCGTTGGCATCTCTGTATTTTCTGTAAATATATAACCTTGTATTGCTACCACTGTATCATCAAAGGTATTATCTAAGTGAGTTTCAGAGATTGTCAGAATATGAATGTCATCTGTTACTAGCAAATGTTTTGATTTCATGAACTTTGTTTCTTAAGATACATATGTTAACCTGGGCGATTTTTAACACTTTTATGGGATGCTTGATAATTTTTCTTGCTTCACTGGGAAGCTTAGCAGAGGTAGACATACTCAGGTTATTTTTATTAGTGCAGGGTGAGCTGCACACAGTGGACTTCCTACTAGGGCACACCACCTCCGTGCTAACAGTATTACTCTGGTTCATAGGCATATGATTACTGCATACAATAGCTATAGGATCAGCAGAGGCATTCCGGGCAGTAGAGGGACTTAAATTAGGTTACTAACATTGCGTCTTCCAGCGCCCCTGGGATAATGTACATTTTCTGAAGCATTATGACAACTCAGCGACACAATTGTAGGGATTAAATGAGCTGGACTTGGGTCATTGATAAGTCATAGTCTCAGCGCAGCCTTATAATGCTGTGAAAGGATCCAGGAACCCAAATGATTTGGGTGGATCCCAACCTCCTTATAATATGAGCTTTGTTTCCAGAAGGTATCAAAATTGTCAATAGATGTTACATCCACAGAGCTGCAATAGTCTTGTACCCAGTTATGGAGGGCTAAAAGTCTGCTGAACCATTCAATGCATTGATTTAGGGAGGGCAAGTAGAGACCCAATCAGTTCTTTAAAATCCATCTTCAGCTGTTTTGAGCTGCCCTTCATAATGTAATTTGACCCCACATGAACCATGACAGTTTCAGCCCCCGGTGACTGACTCACAGCCTTGGGAAGGAACCTGGTGATATCCTGAACTTTTTCCCCAGGAAAACACAAAGTCTTTGCCCCAGCTACAGATATATGCCTCACCATCGAACTCCCTATCACAATCGCCGAAATGATCCGGCCTCTGCCGTGTCTCGAAGCAGATTGCGAGGCCAGAGCCACGGAACTCACGTGAAAAGAGGGCTGCTGAGACGCCGGCTGCGTGCAAGAGCTCTGATCCAGAGAGCACGACCCAGCGGAGGGGGGACACGGTGGTCCAGGCTGTGCCCAGGCAGTTGATTGACTAGGACAGGGAGAGGTAGCTGGAGGGGCTGGCTTTTTTTTTGTAATCTGTGATCGTTAGGAGCCCCTGCCACACACACTTTGTGTCCGACCCGCTGAATTGCTCCTCCACTTTGTCTCTATACTTGTGTTTCGCCATCTTGATTGATCTGCGTAAGTCATATTTGTACTGTTTAACCAAACTATTGTCCCTGGTCACCTTACCCTGTTCATAAGCAGCACCTCTCTCTTTCAGTTTTCCTACAAGGCTGCTATCAATCCACGGTTTTTGATTCGGGTACGTTTTGAAAGATACTATCGGTATCACGTAATCTATGCATTTTATGAATCCGATGACTGAGTCGGCATATTCATTTACATTATCTCCAGAGGTAACCTGGAACATATTCCAGTCCGCGTGATCAAAGCAGTCTTGGAGCGTGAATTCTGATTGGTCGGACCAACGCTGTACAGACCTGATCACCGGAACTTCCATCTTGAGTCTTTGTTTGTAGTCGGGGAGAAGCAAGATGTAGTCATGGTCGGATTTTCCGAAAGGAGGACGGGAGAGGGCCTTATACCTGTGTCGAAAAGGCGTGTAGCAGTGGTCAAAAGTAGAATTTCCGCGAGTTAGACAGTCGATGTGTTGGTAATAATTTGGGAGCACGGTTCTCAAATTACTTTTGTTAAAGTCCCCCGCAACAATGAACGCTGCCTCCGGGAATGCGGTCTCCAGTTTGTTCAGGGTCCAATGAAGATCTTTGAGAGCCTTTTTGGTGTCGGCTTGGGGCGGGATGTACACAGCCATGGCGACAATCCCGGTGAACTCTCTGCAGGTAAAATGGACAACATTTTATGATCAAGTATTCCAAGTCGGCGGAGCAGAAACTAGTCTGCTTCCTATCCGCTCAGAAAACTGTAAAACCCGCTGGTTGTATATAATCCGTCTGGATGTCGGAGGAAAGCAAAGTCTCAGAAAAACAGACTATGTTGCAGGATCTGATGTCCCTCTGGAAGGAGATCCTCGCTCTGAGTTCGTCAAGTATGTTCAATGGGCAAGCAGAACTTTGCAAAGCTGTGAAAGTGAAGTCCACAGAGTTGCAGTGTTAGAGGGTCTTTACACTTACTAGACTTTTCTCAGAAATACCCTCTGCTACACATATTCTGCAATGTAAACTTGCGAATCTGTCATGTCTCGACCGCTACCTCTGGAAGTAGCGCATGACACTCGCCCGCCAGTTGCCCCCCTCTACACTCTTAGAGAAAAAAGCTATCTAGAACCTAAAAAGGTTATTCGGCTGTCCCCATAGGAGAACCCTTTGATTAACCCTTTTTGGTTCCAGATAGAACCCTATTGGGTTCCATGTAGAACCCTTCCCACAGTGTCTTTCCGGAAATTGTATTAACAGCCTGTTACATTCTGAAAATATTGCCATAGCTTTAAATCTCAACAGTGTATATGTATTATTTTGTTTGTTGCTTGACTGCACTGAGCCACTAAGATCCAGGCAAGAAGCAACTCCCCAGGGAATTATCAACGTTTTCAGCGAAACATCAGCATTCAGCTACAGCCAGCATGTTTATGTGAGGATGCAGGAGTTAGCAGTGTATTATCAGCTAATTTAATGTGTATGGACATGAAAATAAACCCTTTAATTGTCTGCACAAGCTTGTGGATTGTTGCATTATTCGCGAGTGTAATATGGTTTGGTTGCATTATTCAATATTGTAATATGTTTTAGAAGAAAGTTGCTCGGATTGTTAAATAGTTTGTGCTTACTGGCTAGTGGCTACTGAAATATTTACGGGCAGTTTGAGCTGCGAACCAAGAATGTTGCGTTGCCAGCCACAATGAAAGTTAAGGCAAGGATGTAATGTGAATTGAAAAGTAGAAATCTCTTTCACCACTCGTAGTGGGAATTGGGCCTTATTCATTCTGTGTGTTTGTCTTTGTGACTGTGTGTGTGTGTGTGACAGACGAAAGAGGTGTGTGTGAACTCTAATGACAGATAGTGGGTGTAGGAGAACACCGGCCTCGTTGGAATCTCTTCTAGGGAAAAAGAGGGAGAGAGAGAAAATAGCAAATAGAGAGAGAGATTTGACTAATAAACCTTTCTCATCTCCCTCCTTGGCTTGAAACTGACCGTTGTTATTTGTTAATAAATGTATAATAATGTATTCTGTATTTTAGATGTCCATCTAAAAATGAAACTTTTCTTTTTCTGCAGTTTTTGTTTTGGTCTCTCCTGTGCCATAATGTCAATATCAGCGTATGATCCTCATCGTAAGTGACAGACATTATCCCCAACAACACAAAATACACACACAGTCACTTGCCGATACCTGTAGACGATACACCTAGTTATTTTTAAACAATGCTTTGCTCCTCTCTCCTCTTCTCTCATCAGGGCTCTCCGCTCTCATCTTTCTGGCCCTCTCCTTCAACGGCTTCGGAGGAATCTGCTTGACCTTCACCTCCCTCACGGTGAGACACACACACAGAAAAAATTATATGTCGAACAATATTTCACTGCAACATTCTTCTCTATACTTCTCAAACAAGACAGGCTGAAGCCCCGCCCCCTGACACTTAACATACAGTTCCTCCACGCTTTGCCTGTTTCTCTCAGAATGCACTCAACAGATTCTTTCAAAACAGCAACAAAACTGCTTTCCACGTTGCTTCTAAACATGAAACCACATTTTTTCTATTATAATATTGAATATGTAGCCACTTTTTAAAGTTAGGAGCACCTGTGCTACCAATAGAACATTTTAATTTATACAACAGGTGGGTCTAATCCTGAATGCTGATTGGTTAAACCCGCATTCCAGACGGTGTCTATTCCACAAGTTACCACCGGCTAAAGCTATGACTTTAAAATGCCTATTTACTCTGTTCATCTGACTGTGCAATCCACTGTCTGATCAGCCCAGCCAGGCACTTTATAAACTTCATCTCCACTATATAAAGCATCTAGACATCTCACATTTATTTTAGACTAACATTTTGTTTTCAACAGCGGAGATTTGTTTAAAACTTGCTGTCTGTCTCTCTGACATTTGCAACATTGTTTCAATATTAACATTTGATCTCCAGCTGTCTCATAGTAATGAATGTGTCGGGACGAGACAGACAGGCAGCATTTCTCAGCCAGTCGAAATCATGAATCAGCTGGCATAATTTTTATGGATATATACAAAGAAATGTAAATTGAAAAAAGGTAAAAGGAAACGAAGTGCAGCTAGTTTGCAGTCTTTCCAGCTTCAATTTGAAGTGACTGTGTTAGCTGTGTTGTTGTCTAGCTCCTCTGAACAACGGTGTCCTGACGAGTGAGCACATGTTCTATTCCAGGCGAAATCGTGCCTCATTAGCTCATTGTTATGGATGTATCCAAATAAATGTCTCTAGAATACAGTTTAAACAAATGCAAATGTGGCTACTTTGCTGTTATTCCTTCTGCAGACGTGACTGTAAGTTAGCCGTAGTTGGCTAGCTAGCAAGCAAGGGATAAGAATGTTGCCAGCCATTATGGCAATGGAACATTTAGAACTAACGACTGGGTCACGTCCATAGATACAGAACAAAAATATTGAACGACTGGGTCGCGTCTCTAGCAACCGAACCGATAGAACGAATGACCAGCCGGCTTGGGAGCAACCCTAGATTTGTGTCGGGACTATATCTTGTGGAAGGATGAAATAGTATGAATAAATTAATCTTTTTTTTTATTTTTATGAAATGATGTCAATCATTATTTGAATATGTTGGTAACCCATTGTATAAAAGTGATAATGCCCTCGAAGCCGGTGTTTGGAGGATATATTGGCACGGTTTACTAACAACAGCCGTGCCAATATATCGTCCAAACATCGGCTTCTCGGGCTTGATCACTTTGTATAGGATGTTCTAAGTCCACAACAATGCTTAAACCACATCGGGAGATCCCTTTTGAGGTCTGGAAACAATACACATTTTTAGGGGGGGGGGGGGGGGGGGGGGGGGGGGGTATAGTTGCCCTTTAATTCAATTGTGCACTATGTTTGGCTAGCTGTGTTTTTTGTGTGCTGTACAATGGACAGTGTAGGCTACATATAATGGTAGAGTTTGCACAACAAATGCCCTGCGATTGATACAAATAATAATGATATCATTCTGCCAGGTAGGCCTACTTTGCAGTCAACATTTAATTGGGAATGTTTTTGGGAAAGACTTTAGAAATGTTCAGTCAAATAGCGCATAATTACTGAATTGTGCATCGCAAAGATTCAACCAAGACCACATTTACATTTTAGTCGTTTAGCAGACGCTCTCATCCAGAGTGACTTACAGTTAGTGCATTCATTTTAAGATAGCTAGGTGGGACAACCACACAGTGTCTTCAGAAAGTATTCATACCCCTTAACTTATTTTCTCACCCATCTACACACAATACCCCATAATGACAAAGTGAAAACATGTTTTTAGAAATGTTTGTAAATTTACTTAAGTATTCACTCCCCTTTGATATGACACTTCCTTTGCTCATCCTTGAGATGTCACCACAACTTGATAGGAGTCCACATGTGGCCAATTCCATTGTTTGGACATGATTTAGAAAGAAACACCTGTCTATATAAGGTCCCAAAGTTGACAGTGCATGTCAGAGCAGAAACTATACCATGAAGTCCAAGGAACTGTCCGTAATCTCCGAGATAGAATTGTGATGAGGCATACAGAACCAGTCAAAAGTTTGGACACCTACTCATTCAAGGGTTTTTCATAGCCATTGGCTTCATCTCTAATCAATCACCTCCCTCTGAACTCGTATCCCCGTTTTGTGTACCACTGTTTATGTTCCCCCAGTATTTACATTTACGTCATTTAGCAGACGCTCTTATCCAGAGCGACTTACAGGAGCAATTAGAGTTAAGTGCCTTGCTTAAGGGCACATCGACAGATTTTTCACCTAGTCAGCTCAGGGATTAGAACCAGCGACCTTTCGGTTACTGGCACAAAACTCTTACCCACTAAGCTACCTGCCACCTGTATGCGCTTGTTTGATGCAACATGGAGATTTCAGCCATTTTTCAGCAGATTTCAGTCCATTATGTTGTTTTTATTGGGAGAGTAAGTTTTCCCCACAAGCGCAACACACGTTGACCACACAGATTTTTATAGTATTTGAACCCAGGCCTGACCCATATCACTGAAAAAAGAATACTTTTTGGCCTGTTTGTATGATGTGCCAATAAGGTGTTTTTGCGGCATAGATGAATGACAATTACCTAGTATTGATTGTTGAGTAATATGGTGGTGGTCAGCAACATAGAGGACAGAGGATTGTGTTGTGTCTGGAAGGTATTTGTTTGTTTGTGTGTGTGATGTGGTGTGTGCACGTCATATGATATAGGGCACCTTGTCTGTGTTTATCTTGGGCAACCAGTGTGCTATTATTACCCTACTGTAGCGCTGTGTTACCGTATCTTAGTCAGGTGTTGTTTTGCCTTTTTCCGTATGGAAATTGTCCCACTTGTGCCTCCACCAATCAGAAGCCCTGAGTCGTCACACACCCTCCTCTGCTCCGCCCATCCACCTCTACCCAAAACACACAAGGGCACTCTCGCTCTCTCTCTCTCTCTCCCTTCCCCCCTCTCTCCCTCTCTTCTCAGAGCGTTTCTTCATTATCACACATATACACCAATCTTGATAGACATTGACATTCACTCCTCTCCATTTGTCCCTTTCTGACCCCTCTCTATGATGTGTCTCTGTTTTGCCAAAATGCAAGCTGTTCCATATGTGACAGAGATGAAAATCTCAGTTAGAGGCATACAAAGAGGGGGAATCTAGTAGCAACAACTAGGATGGGTTGCTAATATGACTAGGATTGTGCCTTTGGCTTCTGGACAACTAAAGAAAGTTGACATGAAAACCAATAGAACAAAAGAGAAATGCTGGTTAATACCATCTGGAAGTCTTTATAAAATAATTGCCTCCACATTTCTATGGATGGATTTTGGCTAGGCTACTCTGAAGCAAGGTAAGACATGCCTCATTATTTAAAGTAAAACGTTCAGGTTTCAAACAATTATACAGCCTCAAGCTCACATTGTATAGTGGTGGGTGACGCGCTGATAGCCTGCCTAACGTTGACTATAGCATATGCACTGGAATGGCGAATGGGAGGCACGCTTTAATTACGAGTTGAGATAGAAAAAATATAAAAAATAGTAGCTATTTTTAGTCGTGGCCATAAAAAACTGTTTTTAACTTGTGATTACGTTTAAGAATTGTTATTTGTTGTGCAATGACTAGGCTTACAAAAGCACTTGCATTCCAGTACCAGATTTTTGAGGAGCTGCTCTCGCACTGTCTCAAACTAGGCTCTGTATGCTCTGCGCGTGACATCTCTGACATGACCAACAGCCAACATCAAGTAGCCTGCTGTCCGGTCATGACCACCTGCACACACTCATAAAAAAGGACTGAGTGAGCAGTTGAGAATAAAAAAGACATGGCAGTGGACATCAAATCAAATGTTATTTGTCACATGCGCCGAATACAACAGGTGTAGACTATACAGTGAAATGCTTACTTACAAGCCCTTAACTAACAATGCAGTTTTAAGAAAGAACACATAAAAAATCACAAAAAATACAATATATAATAATACGAAATAAAATTAACAAATAATTAAACAATAGCGAGGCTATATACAGGGGGTACCGGTACAGAGTCAAGGTAATTGAGGTAATATGTACATGTAGGTAGAGTTATTAAAGTGACTATGCATAGATAATAAACAGAGTAGCAGCAGCGTAAAAGAGGGGGGGGGGGGGGCAATGTAAATAGTCTGGGTAGCCATTTGATTAGATGTTCAGGAGTCTTATGGCTTGGGGGTAGAAGCTGTTTAGAAGCCTCATGGACCTAGACTTGGAGCTCCGGTACCGCTTGCCGTGCGGTAGCAGAGAGAACAGTCTATGACAAGCTGCTCCACTACAGCCCCGTCGATGAGAATGGGGGCGTGCTCGGTCCTCTTCTTTTTCCTGTAGTCCACAATCATCTTCTTTGTCTTGATCACATGGAGGGAGAGGTTGTTGTCCTGGCACCACACGGCCAGGTCTCTGACCTCCTCCCTATAGGCTGTCTCGTCGTTGTCGGTGATCAGGCCTACCACTGTTGTGTCATCGGCAAACTTAATGATGGTGTTGGAGTCGTACCTGGCCATGCAGTCATGAGTGAACAGGGAGTACAGGAGGGGACTGAGCACGCACCCCTGAGGGGCCCCCATGTTGAGGATCAGCGTGGCGGATGTGTTGTTACCTACCCTTACCACCTGGGGGTGGCCCGTCAGGAAGTCCAGGAGCCAGTCGCAGAGGGAGGTTTTAGTCCCAGGGTCCTTAGCTTAGTGATGAGCTTTGAGGGCACTATGGTGTTGAACGCTGAGCTGTAGTCAATGAATAGCATTCTCACTTAGGTGTTCCTTTTGTCCAGGTGTGAAAGGGCAGTGTGGAGCGCAATAGAGATTGCATAATCTGTGGATCTGTTGGGGCGGTATGCAAATTGGAGTGGGTCTAGGGTTTCTGGGATAATGGTGTTGAAATGAGCCATGACCAGCCTTTCAAAGCACTTCATGGCTACAGACGTGAGTGCTACGGGTCGGTAGTCATTTAGGCAGGTTACCTTAGTGTTCTTGGACACAGGGACTGTGGGGGTCTGCTTGAAACATATTGGTATTACAGACTCAGACAGGGAGAGGTTGAAAATGTAAGTGATGACACTTGCCAGTTGGTCAGCGCATACTCAGAGTATACGTCCTGGTAATCCGTCTGGCCCTGCGGCCTTGTGAATGTTGACCTGTTTAAAGGTGTTACTCACATCGGCTATGGAGAGCGTGATCACGCAGTCGTCCGGAACAGCTGATGCTCTCATGCATGTGTCAGTGTTACTTGCCTCGAAGCGAGCATAGAAGGTATTTAGCTCGTCTGGTAGGCTCGTGTTACTGGGCAGCCGGTGTAGTACGATTCGATCTTAGTCCTGTATTGACGCTTTGCCTGTTTGATGTCTCGTCAGAGAGCATAGCGGGATTTCTTATAAGCTTCCGGGTTAGAGTCCCGCTCCTTGAAAGAGGCAGCTCTACCCTTTAGCTCAGTGCGGATGTTGCCTGTAATCCATAGCTTCTGGTTGGGGTATGTACGTACAGTCACATACGCGCGCACCGCACACAACACACACAACGGCCCGAGATCCTTTTAAAGCGTAAATTCACATAGCCACGCATGCTTCGCCCTCATGTTGGTGCTAGCAAAATATCAAGCAGGCTAGGTAGTGCTAGGTATCAGCCAATCCAGTAGGGGCTGGACACTATAGTGAGCTTCGATTGGTCAATAGCAATGTGATGTTGCAGAGTATTTGCATAAAGTTCAGCTTTCCCCAACTTTCACGTCCCTCTCCCATGCTCGCATCGCCCAACGGTCCCCGCCCACTTCGCTTCCTTCATTGAAAATGAATGGGCTTCCGTTGTTTCATCGTCCCCAACGTGCTATGTGGATCTCTTGTGACAGACGGGGACAGTCCTGTGCCATTTCAGAAAGTTGCAGGAAAATACAAATCACTGATGCATTTTGTTAATGTCTTCTGATTAACTTGGGCAAATTAATACATTTTCTAATAAGTTCAATACATTAAGTTGATTTCCTATTAAGTTCAATACATTTTTGAATAGTGTTGAATTCCGTTTTAATGATTCCGTACGTGTTTTCCGCAACGCAGATTTTATAGGACCCTAGTAAATGGTAGTACAGGTCCAATGCTTAACAATCTGAAAGGGACGCACCGTGAGACCCAAACCTTTGCTGGCAGCAGCGCAGCTGCATTATGAATTCACATGGAATGTTATGGATTTAAGGGAAAAACCGATACAAAAATGGCTTTTCAAACGTTAAGAGAAATGATCCATTTGTCACATCCCTACTTCCTACTGTAAACTTTGGAAAGAGTGAGGAGGCCTTCAGCTGTATATTCTCTTTCTTTGGGGACCCTAACATCAACTCAAGTACACTTTTTGTCTCGCTCACTCTCTCTCGGTCTTCCCCTTCTCTTTCTCTCTGTTTCTCTCAGACACATTCTCTTTTCACAGATGTACTTTTTTTTAAAAATCTATCCTAGAATGTATTTTCAAATCCATGTCAAATTTCCAGTAATTCACATGTACCTGATGTATGGTCTCTGTCAGAAGAGTGGAGGCTGTTATAGCAGCAAAGGGAGGACAAACTCCATATTAATGCCCATGATTTTGGAATGAGATGTTCGACGAGCAGGTGTCCACATATTTTTGTAGTGTAGGTCATTCCTCTCTGCGAAACTCATGTGTTTCCACTGACCCTGGCTGTCCAAACAGGGATGTCATGTGCTTGAAGGACATGTGTTAAATGTGACCTTTATGTGCTCCTGTGGGAATATCTCCTCCTGCACACACACACACACACACAGAGATACACACACACACACACAGAGACACACAAACAGACACAGGCACCGAGACGCTCTGTCTCACTGTGATGTACAGTTAGGTAACAGTCCAACAGGCATACGTCAAGACCAACAGGCATACGTCAAGACTGGCATAAAACATGGCTAGAATAAGTTTACTTTGACATTTGTAAGAGATACTAACTTTTCTCTGTGTGTTTTTAGCACATGGCCCCTGTCACTCACATTCCCAAAATCCGTCAGAGATCATCCTGGTATGTCTGTACCGTTACATGTTGTCTGCGCCAGGATGTGAAATATTTGCCTTCTAGGAACCCATCAATGAGGACGGGTGTTTCAGATGTCTTTTACTAGTCCAGTGTCATGTCGGACCACGGCCAGGAACAGTTTTACCGTGTGCTCGCCGGCCTGTTGTTGTGCCAGACCTGACTCCTCTGACATGGCCCCAGGGAGACCTCTAGGCTCCAGCTACACACCAAACTGGTGCCAGTCCACGCTGTCAGGGGGTGACAAAAAGTTCACAACTTCCCCTCGCTCACGGCGTCATGTTTGATTTTCAGTCGGCACGAGTACTGCTGCTCTTCGAAAGAAAGTATTGTGTCAACATATTTCCCTAAACTCCCAGAGATTCAGTTAGGCAAATAACTTCAATAGGCATCTTGACTTGTTGAAACTAACATTAAGTTCCCCTTTGGGAGCACTCATCAGGGCTGCAAGGTGGCTCTGTAGTCTGTACTTACAAGTAATAATGACTTTCATAGTGATCCTGAACATGAAGAAATTATCATCACTTTTTTAAATCAAGGGACATTGACACTGCATGTCAGAGCACTGATGTTAATTGCTTACGCAACGTTGATGTATGGTTGCTAATAGAGAACGTCTGTGCTGAAAATGGCCTAGCTTGTGAACAGTACTCTTATTGAATGTCATTGGGTCCCAAAAAAAAAAGATGTAATTATGCTTCAATCCTTCTGCCTCTATGTCTATTATTAACTTTATTAAATGCTAGGAAATCGTTTTAGTGTGATACTTACTTCCTCTGCCAAAGTGATACTCTAGATACTGTAGGCTTGTGCTGGGCTTCTGTTTTACTCAATACCTTTGTCCCCTCTGCTGGTGAAATTGCATTACTGCACTCCTAATACACAGTCAAACAAGACTTTCGTAGGACAGTGTCTGTGCTCTCATATTGTATCAATGTGTGTTGATTGTGGTCAAATTGTCAATGTTTGAGACTGTTCATACATTTATATCTCTCTCTTTCTTCCTCATCCCCTGTTCCCCACCCCTCTCCCTCCAGCTACCCAACATGTTTGGCAGTCTGAGCTCCACAATCATGTCTCTGATGATTGGCTCCTACGCTTCCTCAGCTGTCACCTTCCCTGGAGTCAAGGTAACCATGATGGATGCACATTTTACATTTGTCAGAAATGGATGCATATTTGTTACCGTTGCCCCGTATCACTTCTATACAAATAGAATGCACGTTCGTCCTTCAGATGTTATGTGAAGAAGTCAAGGAAATGTCCACAGTAAGCCTCAAATATTTATACTATTCTATACTAATAACACCCCATTTTCTCTTCGTCCCTCTCTAAGCTGATCTATGATGCGGATGTGTCGTTCCGGGTGATCATGTGGGTGTGGTCGGGTCTAGCAGGCTTAGTCTTCCTCAACTGTTTCCTCAACTGGCCAGTGGAGGCCTTCCCCACACCTGACGAGGTCGACTACAGGTCAGTACAACACTAAAACAACATCAGATCACAAAAGAATGGCTATTACAATATTATCATAATACTTCCACAATGCTAGAACAATACAGATAGGTGAAAACTTGATCAGGTTACTGTAGTACTTAGAGTGACAGTTAAGTAGACAAGTAGAAATACAACAGTTACCATACTGAAATGCAACAAGAGTTAATAAACAACTATTTCTCCTTCCGTTCTTTTCCTCTTTAACAGTAAGAAGTTAGCGCTGACTTATGTGTCTGGGGACCATAAGGGTGTGGGAGAGAGGTTGAGTCAGAAGAATGGAAGCCTGAACGGAGACCTGAAACACTCCACTGAGAAACTCCCAGCTGACACACAGAGTGAGTACAGAACACACACATGAAAACACAACAGCAGCTCTAGCAGCTCTTGCTCACAAACACATCCCATAGACCCATATTAACTGTCTGCCTTCTCTCTCGTTCTCTCAGATGTCATTCCATTCCGTAGGTCGGTGTTCTCGCCCATCTTCCTATGGAGTCTGGTTACCATGGGGATGACCCAGCTCAGGATCATTTTCTTTATGGGCGCCATGAACAAGATGCTGGAGTTTCTCGTCACCCACGGCGACCCTCACGGTGAGTAACTGACAAACCAGACCAACTGACAGTCAACTGACAAACCAGACCAACTGATAGTCAACTGAAAACCAGACCAACTGATAGTCAACTGACAAACCAACACACTGTCATGACTGGGCCCTATTCCCTCCATGTAAATGTGTTCTAATCAAGTTGTCCTCCTTTCTTTCCTCAGCTTCTGAGGAGTTGATCGTCGAGGCAAAGGAGAAAGGTGGGAAATATCTCCTGGTGAAAGTGACGTGTCCTTGTCATGTGTATGTATGCATGTCTAAATGTGTGTTCTCTCCTCTCCAGTGAGTTTCTACTCGTCCATCTTTGGCACCCTGCAACTGCTCTGCCTGGTCACCTGTCCTGTGATTGGCTACATCATGGACTGGAGGATGAAGGAGTGTGTGGCAGAGACAGAGAAGAGGTGTGTGTGTGAGAGAGAGAAAGCAAAAGCAGCGCGTGAATGACACCGTGACATTCGGGGGGGGTCTCTATTGGACGCGTGCATGTAACATATTAATGGGCCTAATAGTCAAGACGTCATTTAACGACAAAAATGAATTACCTTTTTATGTGGCATGAACACAACCAGTCATGATGTTTTCATCTGATTGTCAAACAAATCACTTCAAAAAGAAGGCTACCTGTGCATGTTCGTCCACTCCAAAATAATTCTCGCATCCAAACAGTGCACTGCATGTGCACTCGCACAGTTTGATGAACTGAAATGTACATCTGTTACAAAACACCAAAAAGTGTGCCTAATGATTAGGCCTACATTAATTGATTTATCTTGCTGCCAAATTGACCTTTTTTGTAGACTGAAAAGTTGGTACACCTGAAATGGGTCTGAAACTGTCCCGGGAAAAAGGGATGGTCACCCTAACACACACGGTCAATTTACTAGACTAGGCTACAATGTGTAGGCCCACCTCTCAGCGAGAACAACAATGTGGTATGTCGTAGCCCACCCTTTTCAAGCCGATGACACAATCGACTCAGGATAAATTCTTGTCATCATCCAACATAATTGATGAGTCTCCCGGTCACGGCCGGCTGCGACAGAGCCTGGATTCGAACCAGAATCTCTAGTGGCACAGTTAGCACTGTGATGTGCCTTGACCACTGGCACTCAGGAGTAGGTCAATGGTAAGCTTGCAAATTACATGTGTGCCATTACCATATCTGCAATTGATTAGCTTAGATATATACAGTGCATTCTGAAAGCATCAGAACCCTGGACTTTTCCAAATTGATTATGTTACAGCCATATTCTAAAATTGATTAAATAGTTTTCCCCCTCATCAATCTATCTCATCAATCTATCACAAGTCATCACACAATCACAATTTAGAAACAGAGCCAATGAATTGATAGGCATTGTAAACAGTAAAATATTGGAGATGTTTATTTTAGTGCTTGCCCGCACAAGAAAATAGTGATTCAGGATCACGGATAGCTACCACAACTCGGCACAGAGAGCAGTGTGATTTTTAAATACAAAACGTACAAAGTAGGAACAGAGACTTAATAGGGAATTAGTGACACAACAATCAACAACAAGAGCATGAGAAATACACAAATAAAAGGATAAACATCAAGTACATTCCTCTGTGAACAGGTAGCCTACACATTCAATATAATGCAAATATTGATAGAAAATAATAAAGCAAATGAAATGGTCTACTTCTTGTGGCCAGGGAGAACACCAGTACCCGCGCACACCTGAAAAACAAAGCAATGAGCGCTCTAAACAGCTGACTGACAAAAGCAAACAATGGTAAATCAACTGATAAATCTAATGCGTTGGAATAAAGGCCTTTTTTTTTAGCAAGGACGCATGGCAAACAAATGGCGAAAATTAGTAAGTACAAAGGAAAATCTATGCGTAAAGGAGCTCAGCTGAGGCCAAAATTCAGTAGTGGACAGCGCTACGGTCTAGCCAGCTATAGAATTCTACCATCCGAACAGCACTCCGCCTGCCTTGGATGACAAGTGCAGCCCTGTAGAAGTAAATGGTTTAAACCATGACAGAGAGGTGGGGGTGTTAGTTTCATTTGGAAGCTTTTATTTTAATATTTACCACTGTAAAACATATTTACCACTGCATTTTAAACAAATAGGAGAATGGTAAAATTATAATTATTTAGAGACCCCCCAAAGTTTGACTTTTGTTGCATTCAGGGGAGCTGAACCCCCCTGGCTCCCCTGTAATTCGCACCCTGAGAGAGAGAGAAAGAGGGGAGGGAGGGCAGGGGGAAAGAAGGCATAATGGGAACTTTGTGGAAAAATAGAATGGATAGAATGGGAAAAGAGGAAAGAGGCTAAATGGATGTAAGAGGTGAGGTTGATGTCTTATCTCCTTGTCCCTGTCCAATCCCACAAAGACCAGCAGACGGGCCGACGAGAGACAAAAAGATCCAGAAAATCACCAATGCCATGAGAGCCTTCATCTTCACCAACCTGCTACTGCTGATGTTCGGAGTGTGCTGTCTGATAGACAACCTGCAACTTCAGGTACACACACACACACACAAATGATCCCTCGTTCATTCTGACATACTGTATTATCAGACAAACAAAAATACCCAAATTTCAACATTCTTTCACCCGCTGTAGATCCTGACCTTCATCCTCCACACCATGGTCAGAGGGTTCATCCACTCCTGCTGTGGAGGCCTGTATGCTGCTGTGTAAGTTCTCAACTTCCTCATCTTCATCATACAACTCCATCATCATCATCTTTAAATACAGAAATTTACTTGAGAAATAATTTTGCTCCCTCAGGTACCCCTCTAACCACTTTGGTACTCTGACTGGGCTGCAGTCGATGATCAGTGCTGTGATCGCCCTGCTGCAGCAGCCCCTCTTCATCGTCATGGTGGGATCCCTGCACGGAGACCCCTACTGGGTGAGACACACACACACGCTCAGAGTTTTACCATGCAGTTACCCATACAATACTTTTTAACCCCCTAACTTCCCATATCTCCTTCACCCATCAGATCAACCTGGGCATGATCCTCTTCTCATTGGGTGGCTTCCTGTTGCCTGGATACCTGTTCTACCATCGCAGACACCTGATCCAGGAGAAGGAAGCTCGAGAAAAGAATGCCATTGGCCAGGAGAGCGAGGCTCTCAACCACTCAGAGCACAACGGCCTCAAACACCATAGCAACGGTCACAGCATCCAGTAAGCATAGGAAGTGGTTCTGGAGCAATGCTAAGGATTGTGGGAACTGTAGGATTATTTGTGTCAATGTCCATGGTATCCACAAAATCAGCAACAACAATATCATGTTTTTTTTTTTTGCATTGTAAGGATTATTGCTGTTGCTGTTTTTGTTGACCTTTTCTGTTGACTAAACCATATAATTTTTGTCTTGATAGGAGACGTTTTTTATTTTATTTTATGCTCTTTATTTTAATTTATTTTATTTGGGTTCAGTTCAGAAGATCCAAATGACTTGTTAAAAAGCCACGTTACTTTTCACTAGTCACAAGCAGATACTCACACACTCATGTCTGTGTTGCTAGGCCAAAACTTCTAAGGTACTTGAAAAACCCTTCAGTGGCGTGTTAATCCTTTAGTATTACTCAATCCATGCTGACAGAAAACACACACACACACACACAACACCAAAGAATGATATTCAGATAATATGAATTCTGCAGCTTCTGCTGAAACCAAAAAAAGCCATTCATGATAGTGTCTATTGATGTAAATCAAATACACTGGGTGTCATATACAAAAAAGGAATCAAAATGACGTCTAAGAAAGTCTGAATAACACATCTATATAAAGATAAATATATTTTGTCCAAACAAATGTATTATCTGTATGGCCCTGACACGCCTAGAGCACGTATGAAGGTAGTGACACGTTTTACTATGAAGCTTGGGAAAACCAGAGCCATGCACACTTCATCCAGCCATGAGGAATGCTACAATTTGCTATAACAAATATATATTGCCATCATATTTTTCTCAGAACATTTCTCTTATTGCATCAACAAACATACATACATACAGACCGACTGTAGAGAAACTAACTACCTCGTCTTTCCCCAACTGTCTCTCTACAATCAAGACCCGTCTGTGTGTATGTAGTGTGTAGATTTGACTTTTCATTGGTCAGTTTATCATCCATTAACCATGAAATACATATATATTCTATGCATAGATTGTTTAAAGATTTAAGAAGTGTAGTCAATTGGTCATTCTCCACTGAACACACATTTCAGATGTTTTTAAGTAGGAGAACATGAACTTGTGGGACACTTGACTTGACCCCCAAAGCCAAGACTGATTTGAAGGTTTTAAAAGTAGACACGTAGAATGGTAGTGTCTACTGTGTGAAGTACTTTACAGCTTTGTGCACAGGAATGAACTTGTGTGTGTAAATAAATATGTATTTAAGTGTATTTATGTACCTTTTAGCTGCATATGTGTTAAAAAGGGGAATTGTGTGTTATTGTTAGCAGATGTATTCATTGTGGTGCCATGAATATAACTGTAATTCTGATGTATTTTCTGCTTTTACTGTGTTCTCTACCCTTTTACAGAGCTCATGTATATTGTAGGGCCAGGAGTTTTTCCTGTCAACATGTCCTGACCGGGGAAATCTCTGGGCCCTACATATACACAAAGCTCTGACCTACAGTGACAGTTTTTGTAAATATAGCTGAGGTTTTTTTCTCTTATGCAAATGCTTCTGGTGTAATGCTCCACGGTACATATGATGTCACCAAAGAGATGTGTAACACAACACTATTGGCTGAGAAGACACCCAATGTTCTCAATATAAATAGTCTGATGCATTTCTATTATGCAACTGTTAATGATGTGAATCATTACTATATAGTGGGGAAGGGGGGATTGAAATACAGTGTTATTTTTGTATGAACTCAGTGCCATAGAATTTTATGTAAATCCACAGCGACAGACAGTACCAAACGTCCCCTGGGAAACCAAATCCATGTTGAGAATGTGGGAGCCCGTTCTAGTCATTCTATTTCTATGGGCTGCTAAACCATATGAAATATAGGTTATTTTCTATTTTTCAAAGTGTACAGCACTTTTCCTCAGGGACATGTAGCTATGTCATAATGAAATGTATTGTATCTAATCCCCTCCCTATCAGGCTCCTGTTTATAGCTTTGGTGTGTCAGAAGTGATATGCATCTTTTCTTTCTGCCATGTCTCATTTGGGGACTAAAACCAGCTTTAAGTCTGATCAAATAAATAAACAAAATGTAAGAAACTGTCCTGTGACTGTGTTTTGATATCCCTGACATTCATTCAAGTTAGCAGTATATTCTTTATATTCATACTAGAAATTAAAATGTTGAATGGATGTTTTCAGATTGTAAACATGCCAGTGCATATTCCTGACTAGGACTTTGCTAGTCCCCCTTTACCTGGAGAAGAGTCTTGTGCCCAAGACTGAAACAGCATGTCACTAAAGGCAACCCTCGAGGCGTCAGGGAGAAAACCATGCCACAGACAGAAAGAGGATCAACGCAGCATGGACAATAACCAAAGTTTATTGGAATATAATGTAGTCCGAAAATATCACAACCAAATGAAAAAGGGGACACATAATATACACTCATTCAGAACATCAGTGGCCTCGAACAATATTAAAAATCTACCACAAACACACTCTTTTGACGTTTCTCACTCACATGACATACATAGACTCATGTTTTTCCCTCCCTCTCACACAAGCATAATCTCTCGTATCTGCATACATACTCTCCTAAACATTTCCTAATTCTTCTAAACACACACACACAGCTTCTCTCTCAAACACACACACACTTGTTGTCTCGGTCTGGTCTATCGTAGGCTGTTGGGCTGCGAGCCAGCCAGGCCAGGGTGGTCCGGACTGTGGCGGTTCTGTAAGGACAGACAGAAACACTATAGAAAAAGTCCCGATCCATAGCCATTGGCTTCATCTCTAATCAATCACCTCCCTCTGAACTCGTATCCCCGTTTTGTGTACCACTGTTTATGTTCCCCCTGTATGCGTTTGTTTGACGCAACATGGAGATTTCAGCGATTTTCCAGTAGATTTCAGCCCATTATGTTATTTGTATTGGGACAGTAAGTTTTCCCCACAAGCGCAACACACGTTGACTACACAGATTTTGATATATAGCCAGCAATACGATAAGTTAGCTAGCTCAAAGGCAGACAGCTACCGTTTAGTCTCTCAAAACTTGGGGGAATGATTTTGCTAGCACACCGCATGTTTCCTGATTTAGAGCCACAGCTTGCAGCCATGTGATTCGCTAAGATCAAATAATGATACATTATTTTATTTAGTCGACTGGTCGATTGTTTGCTCGATAGGCTGATGGTCGCCCGAGATTTCTTTAGTCGAGCAGTAGCAATAAAATAAAATAAAAATCATGGCGTACAAGACACCTGTCTGATTGGCTCCTGTCTGAGTGGACTGATCCATTGTGGAGGCCGTGGGGATGGTACAGTCCATCAGTCTAAGACGTGCTACTGAAATTGTATATGGCTATATTACGTAGGAACAATGGTACAACACTAACAAAAATGATATTATTTTATAACAGATGCGCTTTCCCCCTTGTTGGATAGCGGTTGCTGTCCACGGTACTGAAACACATCAGTGTGCTGTTGAATTGGCGCCTTTTCTAAACCATGTTGCTATGTGCATAATAGCAAAGTTAACCAGCATATTGGTGTTGAGAACAATGCGGCGGAGGCAGCAGTAGAATGAGGAGATGAGAAAACAGCCCTTTCCTTATTGTCTAAGAAAAGTGAGGAGAGAAAACCCCAATTTAATTAGGTCTATAATCAATAGCCTAACTGTTAAATGTGCCTGGCTTTATAAATCATCCATATACAGTAACAGTCAAAAGTTTGGAAACACCTACTCATTCCAGGGTTTTTCTTTATTTTTACTATTTTCTACATTGTAGAATAATAGTGAAGAAATCAAAACTATGAAATAACACATATGGAATCATGTAGTAACCAAAGAAGTGTTAAACACATGAAAATATATTTTATATTTGAGATTCTTCAAAGTAGCCACCTGTCACATACGTTAAGGAACGGGACGGACCAAGGTGCAGCGTGAACGGCGAACATGTTTATTAACTAATAAACACACGAAACAGTAACCAAAACAAAGAAACCACTACTAAAGGACACCAATAAGAAGAAGAGACTTGCTTGGGCCAAGAAACACAAGCAATGGACATTAGACCGGTGGAAATCTGTCCTTTGGTCTGCTGAGTCCAAATTTGAGATTTTTGGTTCCAACTGCTGTGTCTTTGTGAGACGCAGAGTAGGTGAATGGATGATCTCCGCATGTGTGGTTCCCACCGTGAAGCATGGAGGAGGTGGTGTGATGGTGTGGGGATGCTTTGCTGGTGACACTGTCTGTGATTTATTTAGAATTCTAGGCACACTTAACCAGCATGGCTACCACAGCATTCTGCAGCGATACGCCATCCCATCTGGTTTGCGCTTAGTTGGACTATCATTTATTTTTCAACAAGACAATGACCCAACACACCTCCAGGCTGTGTAAGGGCTATTTGACCAAGAAGGAGAGTGATGGAGTGCTGCATCAGATGACCTGGCCTCCACAATCACCCGACCTCAACCCAATTGAGATGGTTTGGGATGAGTCGGACCGCAGAGTGAAGGAAAAGCAGCCAACAAGTGCTCAGCATATGTGGGAACTCCTTCAAGACTGTTGAAAAAGCATTCCTGGTGAAGCTGGTTGAGAGAATGCCAAGAGTGGGCAAAGCTGTCATCAAGGCAAAGGGTGGCAAATTTCATTTGTTTAACACTTTTTTGGTTACTACATGATTCCATATGTGTTATTTCATAGTTTTGATGTCTTCACTATTATTCTACAATGTAGAAAATAGTAAAAAATTAAGAAAAACCCTTGAATGAGTAGGTGGGTCCAAACTTTTGACTGGTACTGTATAGCTACAGAAATAAGACAGATCCTGCTTCTGTTGCCTGTTTGAGTGTTTGTTTAATAGCCTACTGGTTCCGTGAGCACCGTCTGTTATGCTGTAATAAAGGCTTTACACTTTTTTTCGTTAGACCAGCATCTCTGGTATTATTTATAATGTATTTAGTATCGTTTAAACTGTTCCAAATTGTCCAAATTTATTTATAATAATAATAATAATAACAACAACCCTTCTTTTTATTGATCTCCTTCTTATTGTTATTACTATTATGATCATCATTATAATAATAATAATAAGTAATGTCATTATCATTAGTAGGCTTAGTATAGCAGCCTTGTATAACCATCATCGAGCTCTAGGCCTAAGTGCGCATCCTGTTTAGTCTTAATACCGTAACTTACTTAGGCCTATATTTCAATATATATATAGGCTACTGTATCAATCAATAATTTATTCATTCATATCATCACACGGCATACGAGTCATTCATGGCGTGAAATGCAATCAAGCATTTTAGTTTTAAATAAAATAACAAAGCGACCATTGAATAATTAGCGTAAACAATAAATGGGCCTAAACAGTTCCATTTCAGAAATTGCATTCATGAATGACTGTTTTTAGTCTTTGCTGTATTAAAGGCTTTACATTAAAAAAAAGAAAAAACATTAAAACAGACTCTGGTACGCATATAATTTATTTTGTGTTGTTTACATTGTTCCAAACCGTCAGAAAAATTATATTGTAATCTAACAGCACCTGTTTGGCACACATAGGCCTAATATGCACACAGTGCTTGCTCCATACCTTATTTTTCTTGATCTCTGATTTTCCACAACTAGTCAAATTTATACCACACATCTGACTTCCCCTTTACCTCCTACGCAACCAGTAAACATTCCCCCATTTCGAGTTTATTTGTCATGTCCTCTGCATCTATTTTGCTGTCACATGTGTTACGGTGTTCAGAGTTTGTTATAACCAATTTATTGATGTGATTATGATATAGGTCAGGCCCTATTGGTCATGTGCATGCGAAGCATACATATGTCACGTAAAGAGAGCAAGGGTTGAGGGAATAGGGAATGTTTTTCCTAAACAAATTAGGGATTTCGGTAACCTAACTTTTCAGTCAGAAATGACTAATTATGTTGCAGCTTCAGCAACACGGACAGCGCAATACACACTGTTGATGTTCTGTGGTGGTCGCTGCAGCGGGGAGGAGAGAGAGACAACGGGTGCTAGTCACACATATAGTTGATTTGATTAAAACACATGGGATGTGTCAATATATGGAAAAATACATTTTTTTAAATTGGTTGATAGAACAGACCAAGATTATTATTTTTGTCGGGGACAGCCATAGTTCACTCCCACATTTGAGTCGTCGAGCATATGAGAAATTAGCCAGGGGACAAGGTTGCAGGCTTATAGGCCTCCTATATACCAATTTCAGTGCAAGAGATGGAGAAAGGATCAGGACAGTAGACTTACCTTCTTCTTTTTCTTGTCCTTCTTTTTCTTCTTGCGGTCGGGGTCCTCATCCCTTTTTTTCTTCTTCTTCTTGGGGTCAGAGTCTGAGGGGGTCTCTGTGAAGACAGAAGGGTTTCAAAGGCTGTGAGATGGTGGTGTGTGTGTGTGTGTGTGTGTGTGTGTGTGTGTGTGTGTGTGTGTGTGTGTGTGTGTATGTGTGTGTGTTACCTTGCGGTATGGGATCCTGTGGTCGGTTGTGTTTGTGCTTGTGTTTGCTCTTCTTCTTTGGAGGCTGGATGTGCATCAGTCGGTACTGCTCCGGTAGCTGGAACAAAAACACACAGAGAGTATATAACATCTTCACATCTTCGTTAACAGTACAGAAATGATACGGAGGCCTAATGTTGATGAATAAAGTACCCTAAAAATGTGTGAGTATTGTGGTCAAAGGAAGGTGTGTGTGTGTGTGTATGTCTGTCATTACCGGTCCGGTGTGCAGTCTGAAGCCGGTGAGGCTGGCTCCAGTCAGAGGGCTGAAGGAGTTCCCACACACTGGAGGCTTCTCTATCAGAGAGCGCAATGAACTGCCATCCTGGGTACCAGGCCAGTCTATCATACCTACAGACACAGGAGAGACAGGGGAAAAACATACCATTTATTACTCAGAGAAAAAGGAGAGATGGGGAAGAGGCAAGTGAGGTGGGGATACTCAGCGGGATGTGACGACATAAATCACTTACGGAGGGACGGGGACACACACAGACAGACATAGTAAAGGTGTTGCATGGTAATTCACCTGGTAACTCTGGCAGAAAGTTGCTGAGCTTCTCCTTGACCTTCTTGCCACAGAACTTGTTGTAAGCGTGCTCCAGGTTGTAATGGGTAATGAGGTTGGTGTTGCCAGTCAGCTCATTGCCCACTGTGGGGCAAATAAAAGAAATACACTGTCAATACAGTAACAAGATCCAGAGTTAGTCCATACAGACGTCAATGTCACATACTACTAGGGTCCAGACTCCAGAGAGAGTAACTTGTGATGGCTAATGTAAGAAGTGCACTTCGAAATTGATATATCAATATTACACACAATAGGTCACAGAAAAACCTGATTATTAACGTTCTACTAGCCGCTGGGCTAACTAGCCAATACCCAGCTAGCTCACAACGGCTTACATTAGTTCAAATCAAATTGTATTTGCCACATGCGCCGAATACAACAGGTGTAGACCTTACAGTGAAATGCTTACTTACAAGCCCTTAACCAACAATGCAGTTTTAAGAAAAAAGAAAAAAATGTGTTAAGTAAATAAAAAAAAGGCAAATAATTAAAGAGCAGCAGTAAAATTAAATAACAGTAGGGAGGCTATATACAGGGTACAGAGTTAATGTGCGGGGGTACCGGTTAGTCGAGGTAATTGAGGTAATATGTACATGTGGGTAGAGTTAAAGTGACTATTCACAGATAATAAACAGAGTAGCAGCAGCGTAAAAGAGGGGGTGGGAATGCAAATAGTCCGAGTAGCCATGATTAGCTGTTCAGGAGTCTTATGGCTTGGGGATAGAAGCTGTTATGGAAGCCTTTTGGACCTAGACTTGGCGCTCCGGTACCGCTTGCCGTGCGGTAGCAGAGAGAACAGTCTATGACTAGGGTGGCTGGAGTCTTTGACCATTTTTAGGGCCTTCCTCTGACACGGTCTGGTATAGAGGTCCTGGGTGGCAGGACGCTTGGCCCCAGTGATGTACTGGACCGTACGCACTACCCTCTGTAGTGCCATACCAGGCGGTGATGCAACCAGTCAGGACGCTCTCGATGGTTATTAGAAAATAACCTAAGGGTCTAGCAAAAATTACTTCAAATCCTCCACTCGGGTACGAATAAACATATTACATAGTGCCCACACTGAAATGTTAACTTTACCTGGTAGTTCTCGCAGTAAATAAAAAGGTTCGTTCATGGCTCCTGGCTTCCGTAGAACAGGCCCCTCATCCCCGAGCTGAGGTGGCATCTGGGCCGAGATCGGGACTTGGTTTGGCGGCACAGGGGGTGGTGGCTTTCCAGGTCCAAATCCCAGAGACGATCCAGGAGGTCCCTGAGCTTCATTTTGCCCATAAAGAGTTGAAAACATTTCCGTCATATCTATTGCGAGTAATACATTTAAATAACAAATACATCGATGTCCTCCTAAAGCGATACGGTTAGTTTTGTTCACATGTAACTACACACGATAATCTCACAACACTCGCTTGACTCCTTTCTACTCCTTTGTGGTATAGTTTCATACTGTAATTGCATATTTTCGGCAAAGTACCGTAATACCAGGAATATATTGGCCGATCAAATTCGTACTGACGATTGCCTAACTCCCCACTACAAAAGTGTGCGTTTCTAACGTTCACCAAGTATACTTGATTGATTAAGCACTCTAGCTACTAAATGAAGGCAAATGTGTAGTTTTTGTGTTGTGTTTATTTTATTTTATTGGGAGTTTATTTAATGACAAAAACAGAGCACAAAGCACAGACTCAGGAATAAAACAGAACTGGTATACTAATTACAAAAATATATAATAATAATAATTTACAAAAATGGTACATGTTAGGGTTATGGTTCAAATTGGTCAAAGCCAATCTGCTTTAGGACAGGGCAGTACTCAGGGTCAGGGGTCATCAAAGGACGCAGGTGGGCAGATGGAGGAAGAGAGCGTCTGGAACTCCCTAACAGATGCCTAAAGATGCAGGAATTGACAAAAACAAACAGTGAAAACAAGAATGCTAAAAATATCTTCCTACAGTAGGCCTAGGCTAGTCTCTATGGATGCAGATTATTGATGATATTTGTGTGTTACAATCACCATTGTATAGCAGGGGCAGCCCAGACCCCATAATCTTCATAACACCTGTTCTTTCTTTACAGCTAACCCAAAGCCTAAATGTACACCGACTCATTTATTCCATTCCATATACAACTCAGTGGATCTGTGCACCAATGCATCGTGATTCTCTCTCTCTCGCTTATGTAATGGAGTCAAATCATACTGGATAAACACACCCCACAGCTTGAAATGGCACCAATGAATTGGATCCTGTTCAGGGGTCAAACTGCTTTGCATGCTGTCAATCGGGCGGTAAAATGTGTTTGCGAGGCGGAGGACCCAGGTTCAAGCCCAGTCAGAGGCAAATTGAGGGAGGAAGTGAAGCTGCTAAAATAGCACAGTGATGCCGGTTACACTCACCTTCCACTCGTCCACGGCTGTTGCAATGTGCTGGTCGGTCTGAGCGATTCCTTCCCTGCCCGCCTGCACCCTCTGAGCCAGCACAGCGTTCTCCTCCTAAATCTTCTTCAAAATCAAATCAAACCAAATGTTATTTGTCACATACACGTGTTTAGCAGATGTTATAGCGGGTGTAGCGAAATGCTTGTGCTTTTGGCTCCGACAGTGCAGTATATCTAACAAGTAATATCTAACAATTTCACAACATATACCTAATACACACAAAACTAGTAAGGAATGGAATTTAAGAAAATATACATATATGGACAAGCAATGACAATGACAGAGTGGCATGGACTAAGATACAGTAGAATATAATGCAGTATATACAGTTGAAGTCGGAAGTTTACATACACTTAGTTTGGAGTCATTAAAACTTGTTTTTCAACACAACACACATTTCTTGTTAACAAACTATCGTTTTGGCAAGTCGGTTAGGACATCTACTTTGTGCATCACACAAATAATTTTTTCAACAATTGTTATACAGACAGATTGTTTCACTTATAATTCACTGTATCACAATTCCAGTGGGTCAGAAGTTTACATACACTAAGTTGACTGTGCCTTTAAACAGCTTGGAAAATTCCAGAAAATTATGTCATTGCTTTAGAAGCTTCTGATAGGCTAATTTACATAATTTGAGTCAATTGGAGGTGTACCTGTGGATGTATTTCAAGGCCTACCTTCAAACTCAGTGCCTCTTTGCTTGACATCATGGGAAAATCAAAAGAAATCAGCCAAGACCTCAGAAAAATTTTTGTAGACCTCCACAAGTCTGGTTCATCCTTGGGAGCAATTTCCAAACGCCTGAAGGTACCATGTGTACATGTGTTCATCTGTACAAACAATAGTATGCAAGTATAAACACCATGGGACCAAGCAGCCGTCATACCGCTCAGGAAGGAGACGCGTTCTGTCTCCTAGAGATGAACGTACCTTGGTACGAAAAGTGCAAATAAATCCCAGAACAACAGCAAAGGACATTGTGAAGATGCTGGAGGAAACAGGTACAAAAGTATCTATATCCACAGTAAAACGAGTCCTATATCAACATAACCTGAAAGGCCGCTCAGCAAGGAAGAAGCCACTGCTCCAAAACCGCCATAAAAAAGCCAGACTACGGTTTGCAAATGCACATGGGGACAAAGATTGTACTTTTTTGACAAATGTCCTCTGGTCTGATGAAACAAAAATAGAACTGTTTGGCCATAATGACCATCGTTATGTTTGGAGGAAAAAGGGGGTAGCTTGCAAGCTGAACAACACCATCCCAACCGTGAAGCACGGGGGTGGCAGCATCATGCTGTGGGGGTGCTTTGCTGTAGGAGGGACTGGTGCACTTCACAAAAGAGATGGCATCATGAGGAAGGAAAATGATGTGGATATATTGAAGCAACACCCAACTTATTGTGGGAAGCTTGTAGAAGGCTACCCGAAACGTTTGACCCAAGTTAAACAATTTAAAGGCAATGCTACCAAATACTAATTGAGTGTATGTAAACTTCTGACCCACTGGAAATGTGATGAAAGAAATAAAAGCTGAAATAAATAATTCTCTCTACAATTATTCTGACATTTCACATTCTTAAAATAAAGTGGTGATCCTAACTGACATAAGACAGGGGATTTTTACTAGGATTAAATGTCAGGAATTGTGAAAAACTGAGTTTAAATGTATTTGGCTAAGGTGTATGTAAACTTCCGACTTCAACTGTACATATGAGTAGTGCAAGATATGTAAACATTATTAAAGTGACTAGTGTTCCATTTATTAAAGTGGCCAGTGATTTCAATAGGCAGCAGCAGCCTCTAATGTGCTAGTGATGGCTATTTAACAGTCTGCTGGCCTTGAGATAGAAGCTGTTTTTCATTCTCTCGGTCCCAGCTTTGATGCACCTGTACTGACCTCGCCTTCTGGATGATAGCGGGGTGAACAGGCAGTTGCTCGGGTGGTTGATGTCCTTGATGATCTTTTTGGCCTTCCTGTGACATCGGGTGCTGTATGTGCCTTGGAGGGCGGGTAGTTTGCCCCCGATAATGCGTTCAGCAGACCGCACCACCCTCTGGAGAGCCCTGCGGTTGCGGGCGGTGCAGTTGCCATACCAGGTGGTGATACAGCCCGACAGGATGCTCTCAATTGTGCATCTGTAAAACTTTGTGAGGGTTTTAGGTGCCAAGCCGAATTTCTTCAGCCTCCTGAGGTTGAAGAGGCTCTGTTGCGCCTTCTTCACCACACTGTCTGCGTGGGTGGACCATTTCAGTTTGTCTGTGATATGTACGCCAAGGAACTTGAATCTTTCCACCTTCTCCACTGCGGTCCCGTCGATGTGGATAGGGGGGTGCACCCTCTGCTGTTTCCTGAAGTCCACGATCATCTCCTTTGTTTTGTTGACGTTGAGTGAGAGGTTATTTTCCTGGCACCACACTCCCAGAGCCCTCACCTCCTCCCTGTAGGCGGTCTCGTCATTGTTGGCAATCAAGCCTACTACTGTTGTGTCGTCTGCAAACTTGATGATTGAGTTGGAGGCGTGCTTGGCCACGCAGTCATGGGTGAACAGGGAGTACAGGAGGGGGCTGAGCACGCACCCTTGTGGGGCCCCAGTGTTGAGGATCAGCGAAGTGGAGATGTTGTTTCCTACATTCAACACCTGGGGGCGGCCCGTCAGGAAGTCCAGGACCCAGTTGCACAGGGCGGGGTTCAGACCCAGGGCCTCGAGCTTGATGATGAGCTTGGAGGGTACTATGGTGTTGAATGCTGAGCTATAGTCAATGAACAGCATTCTTACATAGGTATTCCTCTTGTCCAGATGGGATAGGGCAGTGTGCAGTGTGATGGCGATTGCATCGTCTGTGGATCTATTGGTGCGGTAAGCAAATTGAAGTGGGTCTAGGGTGACAGGTAAGGTAGAGCTCCCTCCGCAGGTACGCCTCCTGCTTCAAGTAGTACGGCATCACAAAACTACCCAGGTCCTGCTCAGTCACTCTACTGGGACACCTGAGGGGACACGAGGAGGAGTAGGACAAAGAGAAGTGCCCCTGGACACTGATCTAAGGTCAGATTGTACAAGGTGAACACATCAATGGATGTAATGGGATACAGGACAATCCAAGATGGATGAAGACACTAGGCACGGCAGCATACAGACACAAACAAAGAGGCCAACCATGCAGAGTCTTGGCTGTTCTTAGCAGCTTCTTCTAGCTTGTCCAGCTCATCCAGTTTGCTCTTCCATCAGTTTGCTCTTCCATCAGTTTGTTGATGTCATCCTGTATAGGTGCCACACACGCACGTGTCAAAAATCGAACATTCCCTTATATTAAGTCTACTTAAGCCAAAGGGATGATGGCCAACCTGTATAGTCCTTTGTAGGTCTTTAATGAACTGCTTATGGATTTTCTCTGTCACCTGTGGGTTCTTCTTATTGAACGGGTGGAACGTGTGGGCAAATCTGTGAAAACTGACGACACGTTCAGAGAGATTTAACGTTAGCTAGTTTCCCATTGGTGCAAAAATGTTCAGCTCAACGTGATATATGGCCAACAGTATTATTCATAAAATATGTACCTGGCATCGGGATATAAACTTCTCTAGGCTCTTCTCGTGACTTTGTTGAACAACACTACTCTGTTCCTCCGGGGTTCGGGTCTGTCCGACAGGTGAGAATAATTCCCACGACCCGACGACTGAGACGAAACATCTCCTGTAGCATTCCTAGACTGATCCTGTACGTTATCTCCTGTACTTTTAGCAACGTTGTTTCACCAATTTCCTCCATGTTTTACTTTGTTTATATTTTAGAGTAGCCGCTAGAAACGCCCGTCTACCGAAACGCAACAGGTACAAAAAAAGTTTTGCGCAGTCAAGTGTCATATGTCACGCTCGTTCACGTTGAGCTCTTGCTGCTTCAGCTGTCACCACTGAGGTATAATAAGAACGGCTGTCACTTTGCTCAACCCCCTTTCTTTCTCTTCTCTCTGTTGCATGCTGAGGAAACATGGGGTTGATCACCGGAGTTATTGCTTTCTTTTACCACTTACCTCAAATATACAAATGGCTCTTCAAGCCTTATTACATATTGTCTATATTGATGTCCGCCGCATTCCTCATACTTCGGAAGTGTCCGGGACTTTGCGAAAACCTCAACACAGAACGGGAGGACGGGAACCCATGCGACTTTGACTGGGTCAGTATCGGGGTAGAGTTGCTCTTGTGCTAAATCTGGTGGGGTTTATTGTTACTGTAAATGTTGCAATACTTGTATGTAATATTGTGGGGCCTATGTCTTACAGAGAGAAGTTGAGATTCTTATGTTTCTCAGTGCGATTGTCATGATGAAGAACAGAAGAGCCAGTAGGTGCAGAATGAATGAAACACACACACACACACACACACACACACACACACACACACACACACACACACACACACACACACACACAGGTTTGGCCAGGGGTGAGCCCAGTGTTGTAACTGAAATTCTCTCCTAGGTTTACAGTATAAACAGTAAACATCAGAACACACACATGCACTGTAATTTCAATTTGCCCTACAAACCCGGTCCCTCACATCTTGTAAACCACATCCTGGGATTACAGCACAGCGCTGAGGAGGGGTTGGCTCTTGAAATGTTTGTTTTGTAAACATGAGAATACAGTTGTGAGAGGAGGGGCACTGTTTATTTTTGTTAACTCCTCCTTCACTTCTTTTCTATCTTTGAGTCTTACCCCTCTTTCACTCATCCACCCAGTCTCTCTTACCCCCCTCTCCCTCCCCCCTTTCAATCTACTCATCCCCCCATTCTCTCTTACCCCCCTCTCTCTGCTCCTTCCCCCATTCTCCCCCCTCTCTCTGTTTCTCTGTCATGAACCCTAACCTTTCTCCCGTTCTCCAGTCACCATAGAGCAGCATGCAGGGAACCTGTTTATGTTCAGTAAGGTGGCCAACGTCATCCTCTTCTTCAGGCAGGACATCAGACTGGGCATCTTTTACTTCGCTCTGTGTATTGGTGAGATGCTTGTCATGTTACCCTTCATGTCACTGCTGTCAGTCAGTTAATATGCATTATAACTATTGACCAGAGGAAGTTGTTGGGCTCCTTGTTAAGAAAAGGCAATGCTTGCTTCAGGGTTTGATTTGGACTTTGACTTTACTGGTCGAAACCAACCAGTCCGTCTGTGCTCTGTGAGTGAATTTGACAGCATGGGCTAGGAGTTAGGGTTAGTACCAAGTATCTATTCTACAGTGTCAAGAATGTTTCTGTTTCCTATCCTATCCAAGCCTTCGTCATGACCTGTAAACCGCCACTCTACATGGGCCCAGAGTACATCAAGTACTTCAGTGAAAAGACCATAGACGTAAGTGTGGTGATCCAAGACTTGAGATGTGACAGCCATGAGTGTGAAGATTAGACGCCATACTGTAGACTGTTGAGCCTAGTTAACTGAGACTGTCATTACCATATTACTGACTGTAAGTGAGCATTAGATGTTATTTATTTACAACAGGCTAAGTGTTACTAATCCATGTTCTACTGCTCTAGTAGCCCTGCTCGCCAGGCTAGTGATGATACTATTAGTAGGGAAAGAGACCTGGCTGGGAATGAGACTACTGATACAGTGATCTACTCAGGTAATCTGATCTGGTCTAATCCCATTGGACAGGAGGAGCTGAATCATGATACCCGCGTGACGTGGATTGTTGAGTTCTATGCTAACTGGTCTCCCGAGTGCCAGTCCTTCGCCCCTGTCTTTGCCGACCTCTCCCTCAAGTTAGTATTCTTCCTGTTTCACTTATGTTTCCTCTTTCTCTCCACCCCTCCTATACTCTTCTCCCAGTGAAACACATCTCTCTAATGTTGTTCTGTTAACCGAACATGGCGGTCTCCTGTTCTCTTCCTCTGTTATGCAGGTATAACTGTACTGGACTGCGGTTTGGGAAGATAGACGTTGGCCGGTACGGAGAGGTGGCTCAGAGGTAAGACTTTCCCTCTCTGAAATTGGTAGTGTCTCTAACAAACTATATTTTCACGAGAATGCAAAAAAAAATGGATTTACATTGTAAGACTGTAGACTGCATGTCAGTCTGTCTAGAAGTAAGATGAGAAGGGACTGCCTATTTCTATAGTCTGACACTTTTTCTGCCCTGTGCTGACTATGTCCTTCTCTGCAGGTACAAGGTTAGCACCTCTCCTCTGGCCAAGCAGCTCCCCTCATTGGTGCTTTTCCAGTCAGGGCGGGAGGTCATGAGACGTCCAATGGTGGACAATAAGTGTCGAGCTGTGTCCTGGACTTTCAGCGAGGTGTGTGTTGTGTGTGGATCACTAATCTGTCTGTGTGCCTGCTTGTTTGTGTGCCTTACTTTTTGAAGTGTGTGAATGGTTTGGGTCCCCACTCACACACCCCATTCTGTTCTAGGAGAACATCATCCGCGAGTTCAACCTGAACGAGCTCTTCGAGGCATCTAAGAAGATAAAGAAGGGTCGTGGCGAGAAAGGAGAGGACAACCCCTTACTACCAGAGGAGGGCAGCAAAGAGCCTCAACCTGAACCTGACACCCCAGCAGAGAGCAAGAAAGACCAGTAGTGACGAAGGGAGAACAAGGACTGGATTGTTCTACCACACAGTCGTACACACAGTTCACTGCTGGTCATATAATCTGCCTGTGTCTGTTATATCACTGTTGTATTATCAGACCACCAGTATTCAAGTTAATTCAAGAGTTTGGCCTTGTGAAAAAGCAGCTGCAAGCGAACAAAAAGGGACAGAATGAGGCATCTAAATGTAAACATCAAACCGTCCTAATTATTGATGCCTTAAAAGGTCCAATGCAGCAGTTCTCAATAGATTAAGATCATTCTGCGTAACAATTAAGTACCTTACTGTGATTGTTTTAAATTAAAATGGTAAAAAAAGAAAAAAAAGAGCAAAGAGCAATTTCTCAAGCAAGAATTTTGGTAGGACTTTCTGGTAGTGGTTTGAGTGGGAAGGAGAAAACTAGTTATTGGCAGAGGTTTGGAACTAATTTACCGCATGGTGATGTCACAATGGAAGGCCAGAACTCCCTCCCACCAACACAGGCATTCTTTTCAAACAGCTCCTACACTAAAAGGGCATTACCATTATTTTCACAATTTTACAGTATTATTCCAACCTCAGTGTGGAAATATATGAAACATAGGAAAATCAAGTTTGATTGCACTGGGCCTTTAAATGATTTAAGTGAAAATGCCTTACACTGCCATCTCACCCATTCAACCATATTCGTTTTTCTGTGACTGTAGTGAGTTTACTTGTTTTTTCATGTTCTGCTGCTTTTTGGGTCACATTTTTCAACACCAAAGTATGGAGTCAAACTGACAGTTTAGTCTGTCGGCTACAATCTGTTCTGCCAAAAGTTAAATAAAACTTTTCAATGCTCAGAGACTCCTATACGCTCTTGGCTGATCTTTGATTGAAGACACGTTTTTCCTTCAGGTTGACCTTTTATTCTGAGAAGAAACCTTAAACTCTTAAGGCCATCTTGGATATGTCTTCTACATATTCTTCTCCATTCAGCACAGCCCACAACAATAGCAGCATTCTTATTTACTCACGTATATTCAGTTGTTCAAATGGCCCCCTTCCCCACCAGAAGAAAGTAAAACAAACTCTCTAGCCCTGTATGTCTGACTGCTTGTACTATTATATTAACCAGGTGTGCATTTGACAAGGATATTCTCACGCATACACACCAGGAATACATTCAACACAACACACATAATCACATGCATACCTACTGTACACATGGCGAGGGGGCGCATACAAACACTGACTGTGGCCACACTGCTGTGTGATTGGTTGATAGTTTGTGTGCTTCAGATGCGTCAGAACTCCCCGAAAATAAAACGTGCTACATTCAGCTAGCTTTGACATTCCAACTCTCTAGTGGGCTTGGATTAAACATACCAACACCACCTCTCAACCACACACACACCTTTCTGTTTCTGACTGTGCCTTCTTAAACCTATTTGTGGGCAAAACATTAGCTGTACCATAATTTTTTTTTTTTTTAAACAACAGAAAGCAGAACCAATTAAAATATAAAATTCTTATCTGGTTATAGTTGTAAGAAATACTGTAAAAAAAAAAAAAAAACATAAACCGTTTGATTTTACTACGAATGGTCTCAAGGCAAAAACCAATGAAAATAGTCCTCAATTTCAAACCAACCCCGACATCAGTCACCTTCTCCTAGACACGTCATACATATTTCTATTAACAAACAAATGTTACTACAGAATCCCTATGTTTACACCATACCTATCTGTGCTAATAGAACCACAACCATCCCCCAGAATTTGATTTGTTGAGATTTTCCAAGTACATTACAATCTAAGGACAAGGCACTATGATAGGGATGTGGTCTCTGGGTAGAAGTTACCCTTCAGGGAATAGATTTAGGATCAGCTTACCCTCCCCTAGTGCCCTAACAATTAGGGGCAAAAGGCCTCATTGTGTAGGGGCAACTTCATCCAACTCCTGGATGTAGAGATCGGTTTGTAATTGTGTTCAGAACTCAAAGGTTTCCTGTCTGGTAAAATAAATAAAGACCTTCCCACCCTAAACACGTTTGGCTGACCATCCTTATCAGATTTTTCTAGCACTGACTGACAGACAAAACATTTTGAACACCAAAATGACAATCATTTAAAGCTAGAAAGAGAGAATTTGCATAATGTATCAATAATAAATGTTTCTAGTGTACATTCCACAAAGATGCTTGTGCTGTATTTATGATTCAGAATAAACATTTTCTTTGTGGCTTTCAACATCCTCAGTGAAAGGCCACTTCAGTTGGCCTTCATATAGGATCATCAATCTCTGTGGATGAGAATTCCAGCAAGCCTTATGACTGGCTGATACAGCCATCAATCAAAACAAGTGATTAGTCTAACTCATATTCACAGTCATTCACAAACCCCAAAACGCTATCTCCATCATCTGACCAATTGACCCAATAATTCTTAAAGATTCTTTAAGCATTTATATAAAACAATATTAAAAAACAAAAGCTTTATAAAACTCAAATGAAACTGTGTTTGTAGGGGTTGAGGCATCATCTCTGCACAGTCTTTGAATAATCGCTGCAGACTTTAATTAATTAGTGACTACTGTGGATTGGTGATCCATTGTGATTGGTCCATCCATTTGATGGGACACAATTGGTCACCAGTCCATATGCGCCCTCTCAGGCTCCATACTGATTGGTTCAAAAGCACTCCTTTCCAAAACAAATCATCTTTGTATATACGCGTTATAGAGTTTAGTACCCAGCTGTCATAATAATGTTCATGTTATACAGTCTATGGCTCACAGACTGAGGAGAGGTTGTCCCATTCCATCACTGATCAACATTCAGAGTTCCACTTCAGTCGCCATTCGATCCAATATGAAAGATAGGCAGAACAAGATGGCCACTGGCATTATAAAGATACGAAGGTCATTGAAGTACCAGTGAGCCAAACACTTCTATTCCACTATCCACTCCATATTGACCAAGAGTAGAGGATAGTCCTTTCATTGTGTGCGTGCATTTTAGTGAATATCCATCTCTAAGTCTCCTCAGAGTAAGAAAATTGGAATCTGTCCAGTGGAACAACTTTCTTTCTATTCTTTGGCTGGGGCGGATGTCTGTCACTCAAACCGATATCTCATAGGTGGTCCCTCCGACGCCAGTCACCTTCTTCACCCCCCCCCCTGGTTTGGATGTGCTGTGATTGGCCAAGCCTGGGCGAGAGGTGGATCTGATTGGATAGCCGTCAGGAAAAGGGGAGGGGGTTAATGATGTAGATAGGGGAGACAGAGGGAGGAGTGAGAAGAAGAGGTGAGTAGATCTGATTCAAAAATAGACTAATAAATAGGCGTTATGATAAGGTTACAAGAGTAGAAGGATCATTGAAGAGGAAAAATAGGGCACAGAACAGACAGAGTGAGAAAACAGTAGCACGCTAAACTGCTCATGCTAACACAATCACTTCTGTTTCACACACCTAAACACATACTTGCATGCCTCTATATCAAGTAGACAGACTACAAACACAGATACACACATCTATCCTACTACACAGTTATACCTGAGCATAGTTTTTTTTGTCAACTTTAAAATCAGTCTCCTCATAGACGAACACACACACTCTCAAACACAATCCAGCAGAAACACTCTGAAATCAAGAGGAGGAAAAGGAAGACTCACACAGATCAGGGAGGAAGAGGAGGGCTCACATAGATCAATCAGTGAGGAAGAGTAGCAGGCTTGCGGCTCAGATCTCTACTCACTGTGGAGCCTGGGTCCCTCCGACTCCGCCCTCTCCCGACAAACTGCCTCCTCCCATTGGCCGAGCCTTGTGCTGGAGCCCTGTCTCCCCGGTGTAGGAGAGGGACTTCCCTAGGGAGGGGCCTCTGGGTGGGGGAGACACAGGGAACCCAGGGGGGTCCGGGGAACAGGCACGCAGGGAGGAGGGGGAGGGCTGTTCAGAGACGGGAGGAAGGGGGCGAATGGAGGAAGTGGCACGGAGGTGTGGGTGTCTGGAGTCCTGGTGGAGGAGGTGGTGCTGTGTCTCGGGGTGGGCAGCGTGTGGGGGAGTCGGCAGGGGGGGACTGATGGCGCGGCGGTATGCCCTGTTGGGGGAGGAGAAAGTGGCAGAGCCCTGGAGCAGCTGGCCCTCTCTCTGCTGGGCCATCTGTGCTGAGAGGAAGGGTGAGGTGTACCCCTGCAGGGGCGCATCCCCGACCCCGGGGGGTGGCGAGGAGAAGGTTGTCGCCGGGGGAAACGCTGCAGGGGCGTGGGGGTTCTGAGGGGACAGCTCGTGAGCGGCCGACTCAAACTCGGGGCTCTCGGACGGCGTCAGCAGGCTGTCGTAGGACAGGCTGCCGTTCTGAGGTGTCTGATTGGCCATGCTCTTGTAGCTGGTGTCGGTGGTGCCCTCTGATTGCAGCGTGCCCAGAGTATTATGGTGTGTGTGGGCAGAGCGCATGCTGGAGGAGTGAGAACCACCGGTGGACAGGACCAGAGAGGAAGGGTAGGAAGTGTACGACCGCCCCCCTAGGGAGTACCCGGAGATGCCCCCCGTGACAACCCCACCCGTCCCACTGGACCCCCCGGGGCCCTCGCCCCTCTCCCCTCCCCCCATACGCGCCCCCACACCTATTACCGACCCCCCATCCAGGCTGCTGGGCTCAGACCGATAGCTGGGCTGGCAACTCGACTGGAGAATGGAGGGAGAGTCCAGACTGTCCCCACGAATCATCTGAAGAGGAGAGGAGAGGAGAGGAGAGGAGAGGAGAGGAGAGGAGAGGAGAGGAGAGGAGAGGAGAGGAGAGGAGAGGAGAGGAGAGGAGAGGAGAGGAAGAGGTAGTGAAGGTAGAATGAAGTGTGGGAGGGAGGATGGAAAGTTATGTTACAAAGGGATTACTTTGAGGAGACATTCCTCAACAGAAGACAACATAGACGTTTCTACAGAACACACCGTTTCTACAGAGAGCCAGCAGGATGGAGGTGTACTGGGGCATCACATTATCAAGACCACTAACCTTGAAAAATATTATCAGCACCACAAGAACACAAACATACAAATCTATGAGAATACAGGCAGCATAGTAAATGCAGAGTACGGGGAAAGGAAAGTCACAAGCATCAATATTTTTACAGACATAAACGGACACACAGAGATGACACTAACTGAGACTTACTGATCAACCGATGGCCACTGAGTGATCAATTCAAAGTAGAAGAGAGGGGGATGGAGTTAACCACAAAGGAAAAGAACGGACAGAACCTGAGAGAAGGGTCTGTAAAATACCTCTGCTAGTCCCACCTGGATGCCCTCGGCTTAATCCTTCTATAGCTGATCTATCAACTGATTTGACCCTTTGTTTAACGCGTGTCTATGTGTACCTTGTTTGGGTGTGTCAGAGCTGTGTGGTTCCTCTGTGGGCTGCTATAGGCCGGCCGGTACTTGTACATTGAGGGAGTGGACGGACCTTCAGACAGCAAGCTGCTCTCTGATTGGAGAAAAAACAAAACAGCGTTACAAACTAGAGAGTACCATCTGTGTGGGATACTTGAGCGAGTGTCTGTGTGCGTGCGTTCACTGCTCACCCTCTGTGTCTGCACGGGGCAGGCCAGGGTAGCGGAGCTCTGGTTTGGGAGGAGGTGGAGGCTCTGCATCTGCTGACTGGCTCTCCATCTGCTCTAAACTGCTCTTAGACTGACAGGGACAGGAAAGGACAAGACTGTTCATACACACAAATGAGAGAGGGAGAGCTGCGTCTGAAAACCCCTGTATGTTAGATCTGTTTGTCAGCGGGTCCGCTGTGTGTGTGTGTGTGTACATACCCGGGTGCTGTGGTGGTCGTTCTGGATGCCGTTGTCCAGGACTTTGGCCTCTAGCTGGGCCTCGGAGAGAGGAGGGCGGAGGAAGGGAGGCTGCACCTCCACTGTCTGCTTGCCCCGCCACCGACCCACATACCTGACAGAGATGGGTAAACACATGAATGACCCTGAAACTTTCCACTGAAACATACAGTAACTTTATACTCCATTACACACACATATTGTTAGATATTTTACTTAGTTAACAACCATAACTCTTAGGCTACACTGAGTTTTCCCCCTGATGGTCTTGTTCAACCATAAGCTGCAACAGCAGAGGAAAATGGGAGGAATGAAGGAGAGACGGTCACTAACCTGGGAGCCTGAGAGCTACAGAGCACGTATGAGATGTTCCTCAGACAGCCATTGGTGAAAGGGTTAACTCCGCCCCTAAACTTCCCTGTGACCTGAGAGAGAGAGAGCGAGAGAATCCATTTTTAGATAATCTGGATCATGTCGGCCCTCTCAGAGGAGCACACCCAGATCGACAGACGTACCTGCTCGTTAGTGGTCCTTCCCCGAGCTACCAGTACCATGTGGAAACCAGTAAGACCTGCTACTGGGATAAAGAACAGGCCAGCAACACACATTGTAGCCATACTGGAAACACACAGTCAAGGACACAACTTAAACCAGCGCAACAACAACAACAAGACTGTGTGTGTGTGTCTATGGTTATGTCTACACTTGACACTTACATGCGACTTCTGCTATCTGAATACGAAGATCGCATTGAAAAGACGGGTCTAGACCCACAAAAGTCACTTTGTGGTCTGATTGTGTTCAGATCTGGCTGACCACTTCAGGAAGTGGTCAGGGATGCATTGTGTGTGGATTTCTCCTCAGTCTGGATGCAATCAGGCTACCGAAAGCGCATACAGTGGGCGATGTCATCAGCACTCCTCCCACAAGTCTCCAGAAAACGTGTGTTTTGGGACCAAGAGGCACCTTTTCATTATAACGTTGGGGGAAATATGTTCCTAGCATGTGAGGAACATGTTTGCTGGACTCATAAATGCTAGCCAGCTAGCTAATATTTAGAAAAACTATTTTTTGTTTGGCTAGAGTTATGCTAACCCGTTTTCAATCCATTTAGCGTTGCTTGCTAGCTACAGAGGTTAGCTGGCTAGTTAGCTACAGTAGTTAGCTACTGCCATCAGTTGTTGTTGTGTTATCATATTTTGCCTGGCTATTCCACCGTTTGTAGAATGCATACTGGCATTTGAATATAGCTCGGGAAAAGGGAATCCGGACACACTGTGGACACGGTAGACACATATAAATGTAGGTGTAGACGCATGACGCGTTCGGAATTCCATGATCAGAATACTAAAGCTCCATGAACTGTCAAGTCTAGACACGGCCTATAAGGATACGTGACAGCTGAGTGAACACTGTCCAGCTGGTGCTGGTGCTGGAGGACGTAGAGCAGGCCGAAGCCGAACACACCCATGATGTGGATCGTCAGGGACAACAGGAACAGGAAGAAGTGACGGTAGTTCCTGCGCCCGATACAGTTGTTCACCCACGGGCAGTGGTGGTCAAAGTCCTGCCAGGTCACACACAGGTCAAATGGTCACAAAAGGGTCAAGAGAAAAGACAAAATAAATAGCTGATGTTTCGCTGATATTTCCACTGCTGCCTCTGACAACTTGTTACAACACAGTTGTCACCTGTCATTCGGCGTTTAGTGTTAGCAGGGTGGCAGTCTGGAGAAGTGTGTTTACCTCCACACAGTTGTCACACACAGAGCAGTGTGAGCAGCGGGGCGGTCTGTAGAAGCGGCAGGTGGAACACCACTTCATCCGGACCTGAATGCCCTTGATCTCCACCGTTTTATAGAGCGGAGCGCGGAAATCATCCTCTTTATCCTCATCCTCTTCCGCTGTGAACACACACACACACACACCACTTACACACTGAAACACTTTATTTACACCTAAGCCATTTATCTTTAACACACTCTCCTTACCTCTGGGAAAGACCCCTGGGTCCATAAAGGTGGCCATGCAGAAGTTGGCGAGGGTGAAGAGGAAGACCACGGCGTTATAGATGGGAATGACGGCAGAGACATGCTCTGACAACCACGGACACCTGGAGGGAGAGAGGGTTGGGGTGAGATACAGAGCTACAGATATATTATATGGAATTCAGTGTGTGTGTGTGTGTGTGTGTGTGTGTGCGTCTTACTCACGTGAAGCAGAAAAAGAGCGTGGTGGAGCCGACCAGGAAGGTGGTTGCTGCGGAGACGGGAACGTAGCGACTGGGTCGGAACGGGCAGGGAGGAGAGGAGGCGGGGCCACCCACTTCCCCACCTAGTCCCCCACTACTGAACCCCGGCATCAGAGGGAGGGAGGGAGGGAGAGAGGTAGAAGGGGTATATCTAAAGAGAAGGGTGTTGGAAGGGTCAGAGGGAAGACCTCCGTGTTCGTATGGGATAAGGGGGCATGATGGTAGATGGGAAGGTTCTTAGGTACCAGTAATAGTATTATTACAGAAAGCAGCCATTTGGGAGAAACCTCTTAGAGAAAGCTAGCCAGTTCTTTGCACTTCAGCAACTAAAACCACTTTGAAACTAAAATACTTACTATTTTATAGTAAAGTCTACACCTTTGTTTGCATATGTGTAGATCTTTGCAGGTATATCTACAGCTAGCTAGTAAGCTAGATAGCTGTACATTTTATATATATTTTAAAAACAAAACTATACATTATGATACAAAAAGAATTGCGACTTTAATAAATATTAATGTATGGCTTTCATGTAACCTTATTTGGTGCAACAATATAAATACCTCAACAAAATCTCTCCTGTCTACTGCAACAAAGACCCACAAGGGCACACACAATTAACTGCTTTTACAACAACTTCCTGACCTGGTGAGACAACAAACCAACCCTAACCCTCCACAGGCATCGAAAACGACATTTATCACTACTATTTGCAAACTCTCTTGTAAGGGAAATATAGGGTCAAGGCGGGCCAGAAATTAGGAGGTAGTAGCAGAACTGCCTATAAAACAACAGAACAGGGGTGTCTAGCAGAGCAGTGACCACTGAACTCTGGTCTTGTACAAGGTGTATCTAGGCACTGAGTGTGAGAGAGAGTGTGTGTGTGACAATGTGATTGCGTGTGACAGAGAAAAGTGTGACAGAATGCTTGCAAAGGAGAGAGTTCCGGGGTCTATATTCTGGGGAGGCTGCAGCGGTTGGGACAAAACCCAAAAAATCTGAAGCTGCCCAGTAACAATCCAAGCCCACCTGTAGCTTTTAAAAAAATTAAAGCTTGTATACAAAAGCTCTCAAATGTTGTATACACTATTCAGTGCTCTGTTCGTATGAGAGAGTGTTCACATCCACAGGTGAGATCAGTCTCGTTGGATCAATTAGCTGTTTGTTTCAGTCTTTGTGACAGTGCAGGTAAAACCCCTCCCATCTCCGAAACCACACCTCCTTTCCCATGAAGCCTTTAAAATGGAGCCACGCAGAAAGAAGAAGCCACAGACAACTCTCTCCCTTTTTTTCCTTTCACTCGCTCCAGTATTCTGTCACACACGGTTGTAGTCTATGAAGGCAATTGGAGGGCACCTCCTGAAACAGAGAGCATGTTACACAACTACTAGATTACATCAATAGCATTAACCAACACCACAAACTTCAACCACTAGTAATTACACACTCATAATCTCACACCATCACTAACACGAATGCAGCCAAGAACAATATAGTGTTGCAAGGTATGACAATAACATGTTCTTTACATAACTAAATGAGTTGTTGCACGCCACAGCAGTTTTGTGTATGTCTAGGGAGTGGCAGGTTGTGTGTTGAAACCTAACAATTTTGTCAACTGTACTCATTTCCCAGTACTGACTAACCAGGTCGAAAAGGGTGTCTAAAAGAGTATCTCGCTCTCCCACTCTCTGTCCCACACACAAATGCACAACCTTTCTCTCACATCCTATCACACACAAAGGTATTCATAAATCTATAACAGAGCCCTCATCCACACAGATATCATGTAACACCTGAGGGAAAAGTCCTGTTCCGTTAGAACACTGAAAACAGTTCTAAGGTAATAGTGAAACCTGAGCATTGGAAGACACCTCTACTACAATCTTCAACAACCTAGCTAGCTACTCTACACATCCCTATGACAGAGGCCCACAAAAGTACATACCGATACAATCAACAACACCTGACTGACATGGAAATATTCTGTAGATAACCTATTCAACGCAAACACCACACATATCTTATTAGCACCAAAACAGCCCTAGCCTTCTCTACACAGACCGTGTCTGTATCTGTGAAAACAGGCTGCTGAATGTTGGAGGTTATGTGACCGACCCACTGTTAGCAGACGACTAATCATCTCCATGCAGCACACACATTAAATCCCCCCAGATTTAAATGGCTGTTAATCCTGAAATATCCCTGTTCAGCAGAGTACCCTGCTTTTGCGCCTGTCATTGTCACGTTAGCTAGCTTCAAACACCTGACTTAGTGACGAGTCTGACAGCCAGCACTTCACTTCTATCAAGTCTGCTAACTCTAGCTATAAAGTATACGATTACATGCTCCATCGTCGATGCTAAACACAGCTAGCCAGCTAACGTTGTTTTCAGCAGGATATGCTAGGTAGGTAGCTAACTCGTTAGCTACATAGGCATTGTAATTGTGTCCCAATGAATCTGTACATGTACGTTTCTTTTACGCCTGCTACGATGGGTTAATGTACATGTGAACAATTTTTTAAGACAAGCGGCTAATTACAACGCATTTTGAGAGCTGTTGGAACTCGAAAGTTATATGTGAAACTGTTCCCCAGTAAAACATATATATATATATTTATTTATCTAGCGTAGCCTAATGTTACTCCTTAGTCCAAGGACCTTACATGTTGTTTAAAGGCGAAATGGCTCAGGAAGCCAAAACAGCCAAATACTCCATCTAAACGTGAATCAATTCTCAATTGCGGTACGGTTCTAGAAACAAATCACTCTTCTTTCATATCACATTAAAATAATGCAAAATACACTTACTGTACACTGTTTTAACAGATTTAACAGTTGCAGCGGACAGTATTTTTCAGTGACAACATGTTTGAGGCTTCCGTCTTGCGTTTACACAGGTGTTCAGAGTCGCAGATAGCTGTCTTCCATCTGTTTTCATAAACAAACACTGTAACATGGAAATATGGCCGTGTGGGAACCATAACGCTATAAAGTTCTGTATCAATTAACCTTTTGTTAGAAAATTATTTATCTCTGACATGAAAGATAAGGTCTTTATGCTTCCAAAACCGTACCGCAAGCGATGCATGTTAATGTTCAGGCCGAGTGTCCTTAACAAAACTCCCCGTGCAGAAGACGCCTTCGTCCAATGACTCGTTATGTGTAATGTAATGGAACTGAGAGTCATGATCAAGGGATAAATGTTAGATCGTTGGCTAACCAAACCAGGGCAAGTTTGTACCGACGACCTGTGTTTGATCACCGCTTGAGACAGTAAAACTATAAACGATCAGTTACTTGGATACTGGGAAAAGCAGTTAACCAAAAACAAGGCATACCTGACATCCAGGGCTGATGTTTTCAAGTCCTTAATATTTTGGTGCGTTTCGTTTCGGTCCCGAGGCTAGTTAGCTACTAGCTAGGCCAATGAGGGAGTTATTTTACGCTGGCCCGCGTTGAACTGGCCAAGTCCCGTCACGGGCATCGGGAGGAGCGCCATCTCAAATCGAACAGTAATCTGCGACGCTCGGTCATGTTGTCAATAAGGCAACATGGTGCATCGTCCAGAAACATACATCTCTTTTCCATAAAATAAATGTTTAAATTTAACTAGTTTTCATTTGGAAGGCAGATTTAGCAATCACTTTTGCATGGGAAAACACAGAATCCTAAAAAGTTCTACACGTGCATAATTACATCACTTTTTTTGTCGCCCGCAGTCATACAAAGCGGGGCACCTGGCTGACGCCCTGGGGGCAGCTCGGTTCCAAATCGAATGCAATAAACTTTCAGCCGGTGCAAAACACGCCTACACGGGCGAGATTAATCGAGCCCCCTCAATGTTGGAACACCGGAACTGCCCTCGCTCCGTACGTCTCTGGTGGTTCCCGGTGAAGCCTGGATTAGGGACAACATTTGAAAGCTTCGACATGCTAGAGGTCGCTCAGGATAGTGATCCGTTATCTAAACAAGTTACAGCTTCTGAACAAAGAGGCATATCTAAAACACTGCTGGAGTGAATGTACACCAAAGAGGTGAGGTACATTTTTATTTCAAATGTATTTTCACAATAAAAACAATCATACCAAACAGTCTTGTGTGGAAAACAACTTGAGAGAACTGATATAAAACCCAGACCAGTTTCTGTACATTGCAATTGATAAGTTGAATTAAAAAATATCTATATTTACTCCCTCTGCTCCATTCCTGCCACCCACTCTAAACCCCTCCCTCCTCCTCTATTCTCACTCTCCACCCAACACTTGTGCTGTCTTTCATCTCTCCCTTATCAGTTGAGTGTGAAACCAAATATTGACAGAACAGATACTGCTCGGCTAGTCTGGGTACCACTCTGTTTAGCTATCATTCCACACCTTGTCATATGAGGCAGAGTACAAGGAGTGGAATGTTAGCTACTGCTCTGCTGCCCCAAACTCAGTGCCACTGAAAATAAACTCCTCTTTACAGAGCCATCAGATTTCAGACATACAGCATCTCTCGCTCTTCCTCTTGCGTTTTCCCTCTCTCCTCCTCTATTTGAGGTCGATAAAGCGAATGTCCATGATGAGCAGTGTGTGTCTGGGGAGGGGTCTGGGGGCGGGCGAGAGCACGGTCATCACCTGTGCCTGTGTGTCCACGTTAGTCACCACAATGAACCCACACACCGGGCTCTCCAGCAAGCCCCTGCGCACCCCCCCAGCCACCTCCTCCCCCTCATCGGCACAGCTTACGCTCAGCACGTGGTGCGTGAGGTCACGACCTGGGGTCACAGGGACTAGCTTCAGTTGGGTATCGTCCTGCGACATCCCCAGAGGAAGGCACGAATCCGGGATGGACGGCGCTCCGATCTTGTAGATGCGCACGTCAGAAAAGCGCACGTCGAAGGCGTGAGGGTAGAACGAGATGCCGCGGAAACCGTAGAAGTACTCCCGGATCTTGTCGTCCCGAACCTCGCGCCGGCAGTCTTTGGAGCGCTCCACGACCCCTCCGGATTTAGGTAGCAGCACGACTCGAACGAAGTGCGGCAGGTCCCGCTTCAGCTCATTGTAGAGCCTCTCCTGGTCCAGCACCAGAACCACATCCACCTCGAAGGCTGAGGCACAGTGGACCAGGGCCTGGTAGCCAGAACCCTTCACCCAGCCACAAGTGTTGATGATGCAGCCACCCACACTGGCTTTCCTGTTCACCTCACAGCGCTGGGAAAACACCTCAGCCAGACACGATGTCAACTAAGGGGGGGGGGGGGGGGGGGGGGGAATATGGAAGAAAGAGCGAGAGAAATTACATACAAGGCAGAAAGTCCATTACAAAGTTATGGGTTCATATAACCTAATACCCTAACCATAGTGGTTATCTGTGTTATCTTTCACCTTGTTGTAGAGTTTGATGTTGGTTCCTGGAGTGGTGGAGCCAAAGTGGTAGACCAGCGGAGCCTGTACTGAGTATCCCTCCTCCACGTCAGCCGGACGCTCAATACACAGCGCTGACATTGTGCCCGGGACTGACACCTGACACACACAAGACAGGAAAGCATCACGGTCATCAACAGCACTAACCAGACACAGCCAGTCAACACCATCACAGTAGTCATTGTAGAGGGGAACAGTAGCAAAGAGGCGATATGCAGTATGTACACCTCCATCCACAGACACAACATATTAATGTCTCACCCCACTCTGGCCCACGTCCAGCTCCACCAGTGTGGGCCTCCTGCCCAGCCTGACAGCGTAGCTCAGCAACAGCCTGCACACTGTCGACTTCCCCACATCTGTAGGCCCCACCACCATCACCTGGGGGACAACGTTGAAGCAACGTTTACACAACAAGAGAGCTTACACACACTGACAAAGGTCCACTTCTCACACACAGACAACCAACACTGACCCAGGTCCACTTCCCTCAGACAAAAACAGACACACAGCTGAACACTGACCCGTGGTCCTCTCTCGTTGTCTCTCTCCGCCTGTCGTCTCATCTGTTCCAGTGCAGCGTGTGTGTTCAGGTAGAGCAGCATGGGTGTGTCTTTCGATACGTACGCCACCTAGGAGAGGGAGCGAGATTGACACATTTCTGCATCCGTCACTCCTAGCAGTTACAGATACCAAGGCAGATGTTTCAGCCATGCACATATCCCCCTCCATTCATCGGTTACTCCTCCACAGCCTCTCACCTCTGTCTTCCCTGAGAGAGAAACACTGCAGCCCTGCCAGGTGAACACAGCGATCTTAGACCCCGGTGGGAACGTGTACTTCTTGTTGCGGTTGAGCTCAGAACCAAAGACTTCGGCCAATCCCGTGAGCAGCTCCAGCTGCACCTTCTCCCCAGCCTCCACCTCAAACCGCAGCTCTGTCTCTTTCTCCAGGTCGAACCTTGTCCCCCCGCCACCAGCGCCTGCCCCAGCCCCCGCACCCTCCTCACCAGTCTTCTCTGGGCCCTCAGTCGCCATGGCTGTACAGAGACAAAGGTCCGATTTAGCCTCAACAACATTGATACATCTCCGACATGGCTGCTTCATCTCTGCCATGTGATAAGTTGACGCTGGATAGGATTTATAATGTAACTGATCATTAGATGCTGCAATGTCAGATTTCAGTGGTGGTCTCTCATAAGTCATGACAGGATATGAACATCCCTGGAATTACCTATTATAGCACAAGCATAGGGCAGAGTCCTCTATTTTAGTGTTGCACAGTATACTGGTAACATGGTAATATCACGGTACCAAAACATCATGATACTTATGATACCAACATTTTAGAGTACCGTTTCATATGATACTACGACATTTTTCGGCCCTACCAATCTAAAGAAGCTGCTGGCGCCTGTTATAAAATGTTTATAAAGTCAGTTTAGTTAATAAATTCAGTTGGATTTAAGCAACAGCCACTAGTATGCGCCGCTCCAATAATATCCACTTCACTTTCATGCGCATATCACGTGGCAGCAATCTGCTAGCCGCATCCCCTACCAACCGTAACTCACCTGCTTCTCTCCGTCTGCTCTTCCTGCGCATCTATTCCTCCATCAGTTTTCTAAATATAATTTAGTCTTAATGGCGAGCGGGGCTGCAGACCCTGATGAGTCTTGTGTTATTGTATTTGTAAATGTGTTACACTGGAGCAGAGCGAGCAAAGTTGATACATTGTATCATTTCATCGCGTGTTATAAGTTCTCATGCAGCCTCTGAGTGCCAGAGAGGGGAATTTGAGCACATCTTCACTACAGGCATGCTTTCAGCTTTCAGCAGAGAAAACGGCTTGTCTCTAACCAAACGTTTTAAAAAAATACGACCCATATTACCAGAGATTCCTCTTCTCTCTATCGGAAATTGCGCACATTTTATATAATTTCACAAACTATGTCGCAGCCCGCTAATGATTGGTTTAATAACAAACAACGTTGTTCATTCATGTTACATAACTAGTTAACCACCTTTTAACTTCACAATAGGTCTAGGAAAATGTGATTGGCACAGGAAGAAAGAAAAAGGGCGTGCTACTCATGAGATGTGCTTCAAAGGTTGGATTCATATAGGCCTAATGAAAGCCTAAACTAAATAAAAAATCTATTTTTGGTGCTCCTAAAATTCTGTTTAACGCATAACGTTTTAAAAGTTGGGAGTAGTGTGTGTTTGTGGTAGAGAGGGAGACAGTATGTGAGGAAGATGTGTGTGTGTAAACTGAAGAGAAAGGTTTTATGCAGTGTTTTCCCTTACTGTCACGCAGATCAGTATGTATGTAACGTTATATTCCTTCCTTCCTCCAGCCAAATCACAGGTAGGCCTTTACAAATATGACCAAATCAGCCATTTTATGCAGTATTCTATTATACACTGAATAGTGTAAAGTTAACTTATGTGTTGTATTGAGTAGAAGTCTGACTTTCCGCGACAGGTTTTGGCGTGGCACATAAGCAAAACATTTTGTAAACCGGAACAAGCGTCCGGGGGACGGGGCGAACAGGACGCTGGCCACTGACATTTCCCCCCATGGTATCGTATCGTTAGTAAAATGTTGGTATCGTGACAACACTACTCTATTTACAGTAGAAGGCTCTGGTATAACCCACGGCACAAGGGTAACGTGCCAATCGTTATACAACACTAACAATAAGTTACACGCTGAGAAGCTACAAATGCGTTGATCAAGAGGGGTGTTTCTTTCTATCCTTATATAAGAACAACTTGAAACGGCTAGGTACAAAAAAAAGTGAGCGTCTGTATAAACTCCAATATCATGCGAAAAGTAAATAACACTCGCCTGCTCAGCGCTAGCTAGTTAGCAGCTAGCTAGCTAATGTTAGCATGCAAGCCAGCTATCCGGCAATGCCTGTCTAGAACCGTACCAGTGTTAACCTGCTGAATGCATAGAACTGATATATATATTTTTTTAATAATCGTTTATGTGCCAACATGCTACTTACATGATAAGTAATTGGTCCTAAATACGTGTTCAAAGCGTCCTCCACCTCACCGGAGGACCACGACAGAACGATAGTTCCACAAAGAAGACGTCATGCTTCTTAGAACCAATCAGCGTCTGTGATTATGTGGTTCGTTGACCCATTTTTTAAAAGTATGAAATCCGGTTGATTTAGTATGCAGTGTATGGATGTATGTATATGTGTGTATATATATATATATATGTATATATATATGTATATATATATATGCGAGAGAAAAAAACATATGGGGGATTGGAAGTGATGAAGACAATTACATTGATGATAGGTACAATCTATCTGAAATATTAAAGCTGATCTACCCCCCCCCCAAAAAATAAAAAAAATAAAAAATAAAAAAATATATATATATATATGCAGTGCATTTGTTGAGAAGCACAAACGCCTATGCACACATTCCATACTTTTCGAAGCAAAGACAGTAGAAGAGTATAGAAACAAACCAGCTTTATTCTCCATAGATTAAAAAAATATATAAAATAACATTAGATAAGACATCTCACATTGGAAATTGATGAGTGGATACTCAGCAATAGCAGCAAATATACTGAACAAAAATATGAATCCAACATGTAAAGTGTTGGTCCTATGTTTCATCAGCTGAAATAAAATAACCCAGACATTTTCCATATGCACAAAAAAGCTTATTTCTCTTGAAATTTGTGCACCAATTTGTATACATCCCTGTTAGTGAGCATTTCTCCTTTGCCAAGATAATCCATCCACCTGACAGGTGTGGCATATCAAGAAGCTGATTAAATAGCATGATCATTACACAGGTGCACCTTGTGTTGGGGACAATAAAAGGCCACTCTAAATTTGCAGTTTTGTCACTCAACACAATGCCACAGATGTGTCAAGTTTTGAGGGAGCGTGCAATTCAGTGGCAATTTTAGCATGTAAATCTTGGTAGGGCAAACAAACAAAAAAAATTGTGATGCATGCCAGCAAAGCCACTACACAACACTAAAATTATGCATTAATTGTACTATAACGGTGACAAACGGTGCCCACCAACTGTTAGGGCCTACATAAAGCTGCCCCAACAGTAGAGTCCCAACATCTTACCACTGCTACACCTGGCTATCAGCAGAGCCTTGTCTGGCAGCGAAACAGTTCATTCAGCCTCATTTACTGCCTTTAAAAAAAACGTAGCTGATATGGCTGACTTGCTTAAACAAATGTGGTTTCTACTGACAATTGAGATGTACAAACTATGGCATAAGGGGAAGACAAGTGGATAAGAGAAAATGCGTAATTTCGATTAAGACATTAATGAGCGAGCTAGGACGGACGTAGTCAATATAACTATTTGTTTAGCACTTTTCAAATATACAGCGACAGAATTCAGAACATGGGCCGTTCTTACAGTGTTCTCCCTGTACACCAAGTCAGAACCATAGGATAAATAAAGGGGACATATAAGCAGACAATGAAAGCTCTTACAATATTCGATGATTACATTTCTCTAAAACAGGTTATAGGCTACATGTGCACCACCAAGTCAGAACAGTAGACAAAATTAAGAGGCGAAAATATACAAAATTATTAGGGTGAGGCACATGGGCTACTAACAGCTTACTACACAACATACACTTAGTATTACTTTCTTAGCTACAGTATACATATCTCCCTGGCATATTACATCATTTATGCAGCAGTACACAATACATTTTTGGACTCACCTTGTTATGTTGTGCTGTGCTCACTTGAACAGGAAAGTGGTGCGGCGGTCCTTCGTGGGGAAATTTTGTCATCAAAATCTGGCATTCTCTGGATTTATGGTGCTTTCAAGACAACTGGGAACTCTGAAAAAAACAAGGTCGAATCATGATGACGTCATTGATCTTCAGGTCGTAGCCCTGGAAAGAGGCCCAAGTTCCTGACTTACAATTACGAGTTGGATGACCGTTCAAAACATATTTTCCCAGTCGGAGCTCGTTTTTTCCCAGAGTTCCCAGGTGTCTTGAACTCACCGAAGTCAAGTTTTCGGCAGTTCCGTGTTTTGAGCGAGGCACAAATCATGCTTCATTGACAGCATGGCCAATGTTGAATGTTTGTCATTTTAAACTTGGAAAAGAGACCCTTACTCCCAGATTTGGGACCACACAGCCACTCCACTGAAAAGCAGGCTAGTGATTGCTTTGCAATGCTTGCAGTTAGCCACTGATTCCTTCCAAACCGCTCATTGTTGAATTTGCGATTTCCAACTTGTTGTGTAATGTTTATGTCCAGTGGCCGATGAGCACCGATACGTTTTATCTATAATTTCTCTTCATTATTTCTCTTCATATGACAAGGATTAAAAAGGATTTGCCAGTAGATTGTCAATTTGATTCATGATGATGACTGCTAGCTAAGATTTTGAAAGTATGATGTTGACATGATCAGTCCAATCAATGCTACGGTAGATATAATGTGATTTGACGTCATTTTATCTGTGGCCAATGACTTTGAGCCTTCTTGGATGTTCACTTCTAATGTAACTCTATGGCAGCACACAAGGGGCTTGAATTTTCTAGCTCTACCCTTAGACTTGGCAGTGACATACTGTCCCCATGAGTGACAGAACACTGAGCTAATCACGGCGCAACATTACCAACGCTCCGTATTCTCCGCTGTCTGCCCCACCACCAAAGAAAGCACTGAGCTATGCTGAAACACCTGCATTTTGGAGCTGCCTTACTCAAGAAAGCAAAAACGAGACCATGTTTGTATGCAGCTTTATTAAGTGAATTATTATTATTTTTAGCTTAAAATGTGGGGCCTTGAAGGTCGCCAGTGGTGCAATTGGCATGCGTACTGCAGGAATGTCCACCAGAGCTGTTGCCAGATAATTTAATGTTAATTTCTCTACCATAAGCTGCCTCCAACGTTGTTTTAGAGAATTTGGAAGTACATCCAACTGGCCTCACAACTGCAGACCACGTGTAACCATGCCAGCCCAGGACCTCCACATCCGGCTCTTCATGGTCTGAGACCAGCCACCTGGACAGCTGATTAAACTGTGGGTTTGCACAACCGAATAATTTCTGCATAAACTGTCAGAAAGGAAGGGAAGGTCACCTGTGTGCTCGTCGTCCTCAGCAGGGTCTTGACCTGACTCTTCACCTGCTCTTCACGGATGAATCCCGGTTTCAACTGTACCGGGCAGATGGCAGACCGTGTGTATGGCCTCGTGGGCGATCGGTTTGCTGATGTCAACGTTTTGAACAGAGTGCCCCATGGTGGCGGTGGGGTTATGGTATGAGCAGGCATAAGCTACAGACAACGAACACAATTGCATTTTATCGATGGCAGTTTGAATGCACAGAGATACCGTGACAAGATCCTGAGGCCCATTGTCGTGCAATTCATCCGCCTATCCTCATGTTTTAGCATGATAATGCATGGCCCCATGTCGCAAGGATATGTACACAATTCCTGGAAGGTGGAAATGTCCCAGTTATTCCATGGCCTGCATACTCACCAGACATGTCACCCATTGAGCATGTTTGGGATTCTCTGGATCGACGTGTACGACAGCGTGTTCCAGTTCCCGCCAATATCTAGCAACTTCGCACAGCCATTGAAGAGGAGTGGGACAACATTCCACAGGTCACAATCAACAACCTGATCAACTCTATGCGAAGGAAATGTGTTGCGCTCCATGAGGCAAATGGTGGTCACCAGATACTGACTGGTTTATTGATCCACGGCCTACTTTTTATTTTTTAAGGTATCTGCAGTGCTTGACTTGGGTAGGAGCTCACCGGAGCTGAGTACCGGCACCTAACATTTAATACTGCTTGAGCTCCTGTTCCTCTTACAGAATATTAGCTCAAAAGTATTGTGGAGCTCCTGCACCTTAATATAAACAGTACCGGCACCCAAAATGAGTCAAGCACTGGGTATCTGTGACCAACAGATGCATGTTGGTGAAATCCATAGATTAGGGCCTAATGAATTTATTTCATTTGACTGATTTCCTTATATGTAACTCGGTAAAATCTTTGAAATTGTTGCATGTTGCGTTTATATTTTTGTTCAGTGTATATTGTTACCCAGTGTTTCCCAAACTGTGAAACAGTAACCCTCCAGGGTAAACAAGCCAGCTCAACCTGCATCAAGCGCTTTTTGTCACATTGTGGTCATCAATTATGGACAGACATGATTTTTGAAGGGGATACTCAGGGAGCTGGTATGGGTCTTACTTGGAGTACACTGACAGTATATTGAAAATATTTTGGGAACCACAGTTGTACAGTAACCTAATAGAGGAAATGTGTTGCACTGCAAAGAGACACCAGTAGAAGTCATCGTGTCCATGCCAGAGGAGCTTGACGCTTGGGTCATCAGAGGAAGGACTGGGGAGCAACCCCATTGGTCAGTCCTCATCATTCTGCGTCCAGCTAACAAAACCTAGAGGACTGGCAGTGAAGAACAAGGAGAAACAGAGACTGTTTTCAAAAATGATTTTGGATCAGCGGATCATACTCATAATAGTTGAGTTAGGTAAAGCCATCTAGCTTTATGCCCGTCCAGAGGCACACCTCTACAGGAAGGAAAGATGAATGGTTAGTACAAGAAAAAGGACAGCTTCTGGGTGCCGCCGTGTCATGCCAAAGATAAACAATATCATCCGTATTTCCAGACACCTTGTCCTGCACTAAATAGCACTTTCAATTACGATTCTGTGTCCATTAGTAGAATGGATAGTAGAATCTTTCATAACATGACGTGGAAGTACTCACCTTTCCCTCCCTCCACAAGTGTGACCTCCAGGCTTTTCTTGCAGGGTTTCTGGGGGTTCTGAACCACAATGAGGTCTGGGCGGGCGGCCAGGAGGGCGTCTCGCACCCCCTCAGCACACCGCCGGTGCACATATCAGCTCTTACTGCAGAATCACAACAGAACACAGTCACTATCACAAGTTTTTATTTTCAGAGGCAATTTGTCTATGATTTTTAAGTGGTCTGTTCCTTTCCTGTACACTGATATTATCCAGATGGTACAGATAGATAGGCTATTGGTGATGGGAGTGTGGGAAATTGACTCAATGCATTTACCTAAATTGATGTGTGGTCCTAAAAGTGGTATTCTTTAGGGGGGGTGGCTGTGGATATTCCAGTATTCAATGGACCACCCTCTCCCTCTGTAGTAGTCCAAGTCCTGCTCCTCTCGTTGACCCCTCTTCACCGACCATGGTCTCCTTCTCTGTCCCCCCTTGTTGCTACCCTTGCGCTTAGAGCCTCATCCAAAACACACACACACACAAAACAACAACAAAAAGCTGCACCAACAGCACAGTCGTTGTTACAAAACTTCACATCTGCACTGTTCAAGTATTTTTGTTGTAGTAAAATGTTCAGTGGACATTTAAAAGTAGTCCTTGCGCATAGAGTTGTATGGTTTAACTTTTCAATCATTGTTAAAAAAAAAAAACATTTTAAAGTGAAAAATCTTATTCTCAGCATTACTCTTAACGTGGAATTGCCTGACTAAATATCAATTTAGGTGCCATCATTTGTACGGCTTAAAATAGCAGTGATTAAAATAGAAAGACTGACAGGACAGGCATCAAATAAATAATGTAGGAGGAACATCTGGGGAGATAAGGTTTACATTGGAATAAGAGAAAATCCTAAATAAAACAGAAGTGATGGAGGTGCAAGAGAGACCGAGTGCGTCAGATAGGTGTTTGTGTCCTCTGCTAAATTTAGAGTTAATATGATATTTTACGAATAGCAGTTAATCCCAAATTCCATTCACAGCCAGCCAGGCACATGTCAGACACGTGGAATGTGTCAGAGTACATGTTACCTATTTCAAAATGATGCCAACTTTCCAAACCAAAACAACGTGACACACTGAAGAAAATGTAGAAACAATCTTTATTCTTCATAGACAAACAAAAGGAGATAAAATATTTTACAGCATTATTGGATAATATGAACAAGAAGTGAACACAACCGTAAAAGCAGCAATATTGTAAAAGAGGGACAGTGAGAGACACAATTAGATGTCACCGTGTATACAGGCCAGAGGAGTTTGACGCTTGGGTCATCAGAGGAAGGACTGGGGAGCAACCCGGTTGGTCAGTCCTCATCATTCTGCGTCCAGCTGCTACAAACCCTGTATGACTGGCTGCAAAGAACAAAGGGAGAATTCACTATTTTAGCCAAAAATTCTCATGGACAATTGGATAATGGTATATTTGATCCAGTCAAATAAGTGGATTGTATTGATTTCGTGCTTTTCTCTTTGTCTCAGTGTTATTACTGGCTCTAGTAGCCAAATCCTCTCAACCAGTTGGTCTATTTCAATGGCTTTCTTTCTATCAAAGTTTGGGTCAATCCGATTAGAATTTAGTCAGTTGAATTGATTCTGCCTATACAGACCATCAAAGGTGTCTATTCAGTCTTCAGTGCCTTCGCCAAGGCAGAAACTACAACTTTAGGCTCAGGAAACTTCAGCTTGCGAGGCGGGCCTTTCTTTATGCCTGACCACAGACACACCTCTGTAGTAGATGAAAGCAATGGATTAGACAAAAGAAAGGCGTGAAGTAGAGAAGACATTTCACACAGGTAAATCCCTAGACGTACTCACCTTTCTCTCCTTCAACCAGCATCACTTCAAAACTTTTACTCCGAGGCTTCTGGGGGTTCAGAACCACAGTGAGGTCTGGGTGGGCAGCCAGGAGGGCAACTCTGACCTCCTCAGCATTACGCCCGTACACTCGTCAGCTTTTACTGCAGAAAGACAGAACAGTGAGAGTTAGTTAACTGGTTATGCTTTCCTGCAGCAGAGATGTAGCTTATTTCTTTGCCCTTTAAATTGTACTATAATATAAATAATAATATGCCATTTACTAATTGGGTAAATGTTGTTAGATGACAATAAGTTATATCAGGGCTCACCAACCCTGTTCCTGGAGAGCTACAGTCCTGTAGGTTTTCACTCCAACCATTATCTACAACACCTGATTCTAATAATTAGCTGGTTGATAAGCTGGACCAGGTTAGTGCCAACTGGGGTTGGAGCAAAAACCTACAGAAGGGTTGCTCTCCAGGAACAGCGTTGGAGACCCCTGAGCTATTTGCATGCCAGATTATGCCATTTTCATATGACTGACACTGGAATACAATGTCCAATGAATTTATATTTTGTCATCTTTTTCGTCACTCAAATGTATTGGTGTGTTCAGTTCTCACCAGTGTTCAATGACCACCCTCTGGCCCTCTGTGACAATCTCCGGGTGGTCGTCCTCTCCTTTACCCCTCTTCCCCTCCGCAGCCACGGACGACTCCTCCGTCTCCACCTCCGCGCTTGCCTTGCGCTTCAAAACACGACCTGTCCAACAACAGGCAGTGGGGTTGGCCAGAGAGGAAAAAGCGAATCGAGGTTTCACTCTAGCCTAAATTTGCGTTTCTATGCGCTTATTTTGGACCTAACTTGTCGCCTGCCTTCCCGCCTTTGGGACAACGACTCCCATTGTTAGGGCGGAGACATGAGCATCTCGTTATATATACAGATCTCTGGGTTAGCTACTGTGAAAGTCAACAAGCTAGTTAGCTAATCTGTCCCTACATTGCTAATGTAGCTAGCTAGTTCGGAGTTGTCTATCTCTGCTTTAGTGTCTAGCAATTTATCTTGTAATTCAGTGAAAACTTATTTCCTTAGTGCAACTTTATGACTAAGCTAGATTTCAAAAGCGAGTGATGTTGTATGGTTTACCTGCTTTAGCACGGGACGCCATTGCTGTTATTGATATTGTGTAATAGTGAACTTTCGCGGGTTTGGAATAGGTTTCTTCTTCTTAGGTGGAGTTTAACTGTGGTTGGCATCCAATATATTGCATTACCGCCCCCAACTGACCTATAATATAAATCCATTACACTTTGTGATACAAAATGGTAAAAGGGGAAACGGGAAAAATAAAATTAAAATATATTTTGAATTACCCTACCAACTAAACCTACACACATTAAAACCCACCACCTTATTCCACTACTTTAACCCTATATGATCGTACCCCAGGCCAACAACCTGAGAGGACAGGACACTACCACTCAACACACCCTGTAACTTTTCTGAAGTCAAAACTAGTACCCCCAGGTACTTCTCTGCAGCTGCCACCACGACATCTATTTTCTGTGACTTAAGTTCCATGTCTGCGATACAGTTGATACCCATTGCTATGAACACTAAGAAGCCAACCTTACTGAAACATATATCACTCATTGGCCTATCCCTCTGTTCTGGCACAGATCTACTATTCACATGGATCCTCTCAGTATCCCTCACGCTTGATCCACCCTCCTCTACTTTCTTCACTGCCTCAGCATACGACACCTTCTGACTACTCTGACCCTGGCCACCTCAACCTGCCTCTCTCTCAGCGGACACCTCCAATCCCCAGCAACATGGGCAGCCCTACAGTTGACACACACAACTTTTTCGACCGAAACTACACATTCCTCTGTCCAATGTCCTCCTGCACACTTCCCACATCTTAGAATCTCCCTCCTACACACTGATGTGACACCTATAACACCACCACTGTATTCGGCACAAAAGCTCTAACAGCATAACTCATAACGTTACTTTGTCAGGTAAAGACTCTGAATCAAAGCTCAAAAGAACAGACTGTGTCACCTCTATTTCACAACGCTCCCCACCGGATCTGCGTTGCACCAAACGGCAGGCGTCACAAACACCAGGAATCTTCAACATAAATTGCTCCACCTCCACACCTAACACTACCCCAGAAATCACTTCCTTCAATGGTGCCCTGTACCTAAGCGCAAAGCAAGATACAGGTCTTTCACCAAGTTGCGTCGCACGAAGCGCCTGCTCCCTCTGATCTGAAGAAACACAAACAAACATCATAAGTCAACTTCGGGTTACCTTCTCCGACTCAACAGCACCCACCATCTTTTCCACCCAACCTGAAACCACCCATGGAGCAGCTAAAAGGCCTGATTCAACCCTCTTCAAAAATCTCACTCCCACTGGACCAAACGTACCTTCAGTGGCCCAACTGTTTAGCTAAAAAAAAAATATATATATATATATATACACAGCTCAAAAAAACAAAGGGAACACTTAAACAACACAATGTAACTCCAAGTCAATCAAACTTCTGTGAAATCAAACTGTCCACTTAGGAAGCAACACTGATTGACAATACATTTCACATGCTGTTGTGCAAATGGAATAGACAACAGGTGGAAATTATAGGCAATTAGCAAGACACCCCCCAATAAAGGACTGGTTTTGCAGGTGGTGACCACAGACCACTTCTCAGTTCCTATGCTTCCTGGCTGATGTTTTGGTCACTTTTGAATGCTGGCGGTGCTTTCACTCTAGTGGTAGCATGAGACGGAGTCTACAACTCACACAAGTGGCTCAGGTAGTGCAGCTCATCCAGGATGGCACATCAATGCGAGCTGTGGCAAGAAGGTTTGCTGTGTCTGTCAGCGTAGTGTCCAGAGCATGGAGGCGCTACCAGGAGACAGGCCAGTACATCAGGAGATGTGGAGGAGGCCGTAGGAGGGCAACAACCCAGCAGCAGGACTGCTACCTCCGCCTTTGTGCAAGGAGGAGCAGGAGGAGCACTGCCAGAGCCCTGCAAAATGACCTCCAGCAGGCCACAAATGTGCATGTGTCTGCTCAAATGGTCAGAAACAGACTCCAAGAGGGTGGTATGAGGGCCCGACATCCACAGGTGGGGGTTGTGCTTAGAGCCCAACACCGTGCAGGACGTTTGGCATTTGCCAGAGAACACCAAGATTGGCAAATTCGCCACTGGCGCCCTGTGCTCTTCACAGATGAAAGCAGGTTCACACTGAGCACATGTGACAGACGTGACAGAGTCTGGAGACGCCGTAGAGAACGTTCTGCTGCCTGCAACATCCTCCAGCATGACCGGTTTGGCGGTGGGTCAGTCATGGTGTGGGGTGGCATTTCTTTGGGGGGCCGCACAGCCCTCCATGTGCTCGCCAGAGGTAGCCTGACTGCCATTAGGTACCGAGATGAGATCCTCAGACCCCTTGTGAGACCATACGCTGGTGCAGTTGGCCCTGGGTTCCTCCTAATGCAAGAAATGCTAGACCTCATGTGGCTGGAGTGTGTCAGCAGTTCCTGCAAGAGGAAGGCATTGATGCTATGGACCGCCCATTCCCCAGACCTGAATCCAATTGAGCACATCTGAGACATCATGTCTCGCTCCTTCCACCAACGCCACGTTGCACCACAGACTGTCCAGGAGTTGGCGGATGCTTTAGTCCAGGTCTGGGAGGAGGTCCCTCAGGAGACCATCCACCACCTCATCAGGAGCATGCCCAGGCATTGTAGGGAGGTCATACAGGCACGTGGAGGCCACACACACTACTGAGCCTCATTTTGACTTGTTTTAAGGACATTACATCAAAGTTGGATCAGCCTGTAGTGTGGTTTTCCACTTTAATTTTGAGGGTGACTCCAAATCCAGACCTCCACGGGTTGATACATTTGATTTCCATTGATCATTTTTGTGTGATTTTGTTGTCAGCACATTCAACTATGTAAAGAAAAAAGTATTTAATAAGATTATTTCATTCATTCAGATCTAGGATGTGTTATTTTAGTGTTCCCTTAATTTTTTTGAGCAGTGTATATATATACAGTACATGTACCAGTCTAAACTTTGGACACACATACTCATTCAAGGGTTTTTCTTTATTTTTACTATTTTCTACATTGTAGAATAATAGTGAAGACATCAAAACTATGAAATAACACATATGGAATCATGTAGTAACCAAAAAAGTGTTAAACAAATGAAAATATATTTTATATTTGAGATTCTTCATAGTAGCCACCCTTTGCCTTGATGACAGCTTTGCCCACTCTTGGCATTCTCTCAACCAGCTTCACCAGGAATGCTTTTTCAACAGTCTTGAAGGAGTTCCCACATATGCTGAGCACTTGTTGGCTGCTTTTCCTTCACTCTGCGGTCCGACTCATCCCAAACCATCTCAATTGGGTTGAGGTCGGGTGATTGTGGAGGCCAGGTCATCTGACGCCGCACTCCATCACTCTCCTTCTTGGTCAAATAGCCCTTAGACAGCCTGGAGGTGTGTTGGGTCATTGTCTTGTTGAAAAATAAATGATAGTCCAACTAAGCGCAAACCAGATGGGATGGCGTATTGCTGCAGAATGCTGTGGTAGCCATGCTGGTTAAGTGTGTCTATAATTCTAAATAAATCACAGACAGTGTCACCAGCAAAGCATCCCCACACCATCACACCTCCTCCTCCATGCTTCACGGTGGGAACCACACATGCGGAGATCATCCGTTCACCTACTCTGCATCTCACAAAGACACAGCGGTTGGAACCAAAAATCTCAAATTTGGACTCAGCAGACCAAAGGACAGATTTCCACCGGTCTAATGTCCATTGCTTGTGTTTCTTGGCCCAAGCAAGTCTCTTCTTCTTATTGGTGTCCTTTAGTAGTGGTTTCTTTGCAGCAATTCGACCATGAAGGTCTGATTCACGCAGTCTCCTCTGAACAGTTGATGTTGCGATGTGTCTGTTACTTGAACTCTGTGAAGCATTTATTTGGGCTGCAATTTCTGAGGCTGGTAACTCTAATGAACTTATCCTCTGCAGCAGAGGTAACTCTAGGTTTTCCTTTCCTGTGGCGGTCCTAATGAGAGCCAGTTTCATCATAGCGCTTGATGGTTTTTGC